ATGTGTGTCGGGTGATGCTCCCTGGACTAGGAGCCCGAGCTGGTTAGTATGTGACGTGATGCTTTAAACTGCGGTTGCATGGGAAGCATCCATGGCCCAGTGGTTTTCAGCATGGACTGTTGTTAACCATCAATGCTGCTTGTACATAACGTGTCGCTGAGGATGGAAAAAAATGCCAAAGAGCAGAATTCGTTTGAGCTAAAACCACTTTTTCTTTGTACATTTCTTAAAATAAATGACTAAATGATCTATTACTGCATTACCAAATGTGTTGATGTGTGTTAGAGGAAGAGATGTTTTTCACTGCTCCTGAGAGGGCACCTGCCCCCTGCTAAAGGCCTCTTCCCTTGGCCCTCGGCCAGAGCAGGGGAGCCCCTGCCTGAAACCTTCCATGCTCAGCAGGACACACAGCAGATCTTCAAAGGCTGGAGTCCATCAGGGCCCATCCTGCAGGAGATACCCCCGGGCTGAAACCTCCCTGCAGCATCCTCAACCCAGCCCGACCCATACGACTCCTACAGGGCCCACGGGCTCCTTGGGGTCTGCAGCAAGGAGCCTCAGTGTCCCCACAGGCAGCAGGAGAAGCTGCAGTAGATACAGCCAAGGAGGACAGGACTGGGTCCCACGAGCCACTCAGGGGACCACCAGTGCTGGAAGGAGGAGGCTGCAGTGAATGAGGGATGTTTCTGCATCCAAGGGAGGCCACCTCCAGCATCCCCGAGGACCCCACTAGGGCCTCGCTGCTGTTTTCCCTCTCCCTGGAACAGCATGTCCATGTAATTCATGTAATTCAAGGTGAAAGTATCGCAGCTCCAGAGCAGCCGTGGGCTGGGGAAAGGAGGTGGCACAACCTTCTGCAACTGCGGAAAGGACAGCACTGAAACCCAAGCCACAATGCATAGGGATGGGCTGGCAAGGGCCACAGCTGCCTGGTTGCTCCATCTCCACATGCTGCAGGGGCTCTGGGCTCTGCAGGCACTGAGCACTCGAGTGCTGCAAGTTGGACTTGGCCACCAACATGGTCCCAGCAATAGTCCCAAGGAAGGGAAGAGGCGTGGGGTCATGAGGAAACACCCTCCAGCGTGTTTCCCAACTACTCCGTGCTGCTGGGGAAGAGCTGGGCTTGCACCAAGAGGGGGAAATGGGACCCATTCTGCCCATTAGCAGATGCTGTGGAGCCAGCAAGTAGAGCAGAACTTGTCCACTGTCCTTGCAAACCAGCTCTAGCACGTACCACACTCCTGGTTTTATCCCACAAGGATCCCAGGGATCTGTTCCAGTGGGAAAAGGCACCTCTCCTATCTCTGCTCTTTCTCCCCTGAGCTCACTTTTGCTCCAGGAACCTCAATTTAAGCAGCAGTAAATGCAGGACTTGTTTCTATGTGTCTCAGCAATAGCATATTGATTTCACAGAATCACAGAACGGTTAAGGTTGAAAGGGACCACTAGTCCCTTTCCCTAGATCATCTAGTCCAACCTCTCTGTTCATGCAGGCACACCCAGAGCACGTGGCACAGGGTGGCATCTTGGCAGGTTTTGCAGACCTCCAGAGAAGGAGACTCCACAGCCTCCCCGGGCAGCCTGTGCCAGGGCTCTGGCACCCTCACAGTGAAGATCTTCCTCACAKGCAGATGGATCTTCCTATGTTTCAACTTATACCCCTTGCCCCTTGGCCACCACTGAGAAGAGTTTGGCCCCTTTCTCTTTACATTCTCCCCTCAGGTATTTGTGCACGTTSATCAGATCCCCTTTCCACCTTCTCTTCTCCAGGCTAAACAGCCCCAACTCACTCAGTCTTTCTTCATACAATAGATGCTCCAGGAACTTAATCATCTTTGTTGCCCTCCGCTGGAGCCTCTCTAGAAGCCCCACATCCCTCTTGTCCTGGGGAGCCCAGAGCTGCACCCATTACTCCAGGTGTGGCCTCACCAGAGCAGAGGGGCAGGATCAGAATCCCTCCCTTGACCTGCTGGCAACATCCTCCTGATGCAGCCAGGAGCCCATTGGCCTCCTTGGCCACGAGGGCACACTGCTGGCTCATGGTTAACCTGTCTACCAGGACTCCCAGGTCCCTCTCTGCAGAGCTGCTCTCCACCAGGTCAGCCCCTATTCTGTACTGATGCTTGGGGTTGTTCCTCCCCAGGTACAGGACCCTGCACTTGTCCTTATTGAACCTCATGAGGTTCCTCTCTGCTCAGCTCTCCAGCCTGTCCAGGTCCCTCTGGATGACAGCGCAGCCCTCCAGAGTGTCGGCCACTCCATCCAGCTTGGGATCTGGAGTGGTCACTCCACAAACTTGCTCAGAGTGCCCTTTGTGCCCTTGTCCAGGTCATTGATGAACAAGTTGAACAGCACTGGGCCCAGCACTGACCCCTGGGGGACACCACTGGCCACAGGCCTCCAACTGGACTCGGCCCCATTTATCACCACCCTCTGAGCTCTGCCATCCAGCCAGCCCTCGATCCACCACACCGTGCACTCCTTCAGACCACTCTCCCAGAGCTTCCATATGAGGATATTATGGGAGACGGTGTCAAAAGCCTTGCTGAAGTCAAAGTAGACAACATCCACAGCTCTCCCCTCGTCCAGCCAGCCTGTCATCCCATCAYAGAAGGCTATCAGGTTCGTAAGACATGACTTCCCCTTGGTGAATCCATGCTGACTACTCCTCATCACCTTCTCCTTCACATGCCTGGAGATGCTCTCCAGGATGAGCTGCTCCACCACCTTTCCAGGGATGGAGGTGAGGCTGAGCGGCCTGTAGTTGCCCGGCTCCTCCCTCTTGCCCTTTTTGAAGACTGCAGTGATGYTGGCTCTCTTCCAGTCTCTGCACCTCCCCTGCTCTCCAGGACCTCTCGAAGATGATGGAGAGCAGCTGAGCAGTAASCCCCGCCAGTTCCCTCARCATACCCCATTGGGRCCCACAGATTTATGGGTGGCCAGTTTGCCTAAGTGATCCCTAACCCAATCCTCCTTGACCAGTGGAAGGTCTTCCTCTCGCCCATTTATCTCTCTTTTACCTGGGCTCTATGATTCTTGGGGCCTGGCTTTAGCAGTAAAGTCAGAGGCAAAGGTGGCATTTAGTACCTCTGCCTTCTGGGCATCCTCCGTCACCAAGACCTCCTCCCCACGCAGCAGCGGGCTGACRTTTTCCCTCGTCTTCCCCTTGCTGCTGACGTATTTATAGAAGCCCCTCCTGTTGTCCCCGACGTCCCTCGCCAGCTCTGATTCCAGACAGGCCTTGGCCTTCCTCATTGCATCCCTGCATTCTCTAACTTATATTCTTCCTATATTCTTATTATTCTATATTCTATTAGAATTATTATATATGTTATATATATTATATATAGTATATATAATATATATAATACATATATATAATTATATAGAATTATTCTATAGAATTATTCTATATTCTTCTATTATATCTATGTTCTTCTTATTATTCCTATATTCTATATTCTGCCTATATTCTTCCCACGTGGCCTGGCCCTTCTTCCACAAGCTGTACRCTCTTTTATCCTCATTACCTTTGTCTAGCAGCTCCTTGCCCATCCACACAGGTCTCCTGCCCCGCTTACTCAACTTCCTTCTTGCGGGCATGCACCAACCCTGAGCTTGGAGGAAGTGGTGCTTGAATATTAGCCAGCTCTCCTGGGCCCCCTTTCCTTGTAGGCCCTGACCCAAGAGTTATTCCTCCAGGAGCTCCCTGAAGSGGTCAAAGTTGGCTCTCTTGAAGCCCAGGGTTGCACKYCTWCTTCTCRTCCAGCTTSCTCCACGCAGGATTGTGAATTCCAACATCTCGTGGTCACTGCAGCCCAGACTGCCCCCAACCCTCGTGTTTCCCTCTAGAACATTTCTGTTTGTTAGTATCAGGTCTAGCAGCGCGCCTCCCCTTGTCGGCTCATCAACCACCTGCAACGCTCTGCAGGAACCTCCTGGACTCTCTGTTCCTGGCTGTGTGGTTATCAGACCAGGGCCTGTGATCGGCAGGTTCTTGCAGCTGCCTGTAGAAGCCTCCTCCACTTCCTCTTCCTCGTCAGGAGGCCTGTAGTAAACTCCCACCTCAGTGTGGCCCATGTTGRCCTACCTTTAATCCTCACCCRCAGGGTCTTGACCTGTGCTCCATCCTCCCCTGTGCTGAGCTCCATACATTCCAGACCTTTCTTGCTTTCCATCCCCTTTCAGACAAGGTGAGATTTGCACCACAGCTGGTACAAGCTGGGAGCTTGGCTGGGTGCTCAGAGCCTGCAGAGACAATCTGCAGAAGAATGAAGGTTTGGGGAGGCCCCCAGCAGAGAACACTGAGCTCTGGGGACCATTGTGGCTGGCAAAAGTACCCAAAGGTGTTTTCTGACGTGGCGATACAGCTCAGTGCTCACCGGTGGTGGAGTGCAGGGAGAGGCAGGCTGTGGCATGGCATGAGGAGATACCGTATTTTTGGGTCAGTGGCAGCAGATACCAGGTGATGCTCTGGGTGCCACTTGGTGCTTCCACAGGCRGTGGTTGTCCTTGAAGACCTCCAGGAGGAAGGTCTCGGTGGCAGCAAAAGGGCCTGTGCAGAGGGGCCAGGTACAGGTGGCATGCAGGGAGGTAAGACCTGCACTCTGACCATCTCTCATTTTGTCTGGTTTTCACCCAGCAAGACCTTCCCCTGCGCCTGCAGCCACCAAGACACGGTGAGCTGAAGCGTGGGACGTGGGATGGGTCGCAGGTGTAAGTTGTGGTCACCCGCAGCAAGCTCCCTTGGCCAGCACGGCCGCGAGGAGCACAGCACGGAGGCCAAGCGTCTTGGCGCTCCGAGTGCCAGCGAGCAGCGGGCGCCAGCTCGGCCCCACCAGCATCTGCCCTTCATTCAAAACCCAGGGCCCTGGGAAAGTCCCCACTGAGCCCAATTTACATGAGCAGGAAAAGGGCCGTCTTGCAGAGCGGCAGCTGTGCCATTTTTAGGCCAGGCTGGTGTCCAGGCGGCAGCTGCATTTTGCAGAAACAGGGTCTGGATGTTTCCCAGCTGCGGGCGCTGAGATATGGCTGCGGTGTCCAAGAGGCTGGGGGTGCTGCAGGCAAACCTCTGGGTCATAGCCCTGATCACAGGTAGGCGTCAGATCTTGGCTTTGCACTGGGAGAGGGTCTAAGACTTGCACAAGCAAGCAAACGTGCACCCAGGGCACCGGCCGTGCGGCTCTGAGTCTTCTGTAGTGCAGTGGGAGACTTCACTCAGGCCTGGCTTTAAAGGAGGCATTTCAAGCTTTGCAAGCYCCTGCTTTTTGCACAAAACAAGGGTTTAGCTCAGCAGAGCACACGCGGGCTGGGAGGTGGAAAGTCTTGTTTGTTGCTCTTGGAGGTGCAAGATGAGGCCCCCAGGTCRCTGCGGCTATGGCTGAAGCACCTCCCTTTGCTCATCAGGGTTCAGCCCAGGAGGWTCTGAGGTCCTGGGTCACTGGATCTGCTTGTGCGGGAGCTTTGGYGATGCCCAACTGCAGCCTTGCTGGAGGCTTCCAGAGGGGCCCCGGAAAGCTCCGTCTGTCTGATGTTGGTGTCTGGTTTTGGTGGTTGTAGCAGAGAGTTCGGCTTTGCGGGGGCAAGGTGAGAAATCGAACTCATTGTTCACTTAGAAAGAGCAACAAAACACAAATCCTGCCACGCTGCCATCCCACCAGCTCTGTGCCGGGATGAAGGGCATCTCTCCGTCTCAGAAGATGAAACTAAGTTGGAGAGACTTTTAAGGAGAGCAGCACTTGTCTGCAGAGAGGCAGATGCTGGAAATGRATGGGGAGAGCAGAGCAGCCCACCCTTGGGAGAGAGCCCAGGGCACCGAGGGGGCCTGTGGCTGCGCGAGGCCGTCCCTGTGGGCTGCTCTTTGGACAGGCAGATCTGGGCCCCCGACCTGCGCTGGGCTCTGGGCTCTGGGCTGGCCACCGGGCAGCAGCCTCTCCTGGGCGCTCGCACGGCCGGGCCGAGCCGCTGCTCACTGAGCGGCCGGAGCCGCGTGCCGGAGCGATGCCGTGAACAGAGCCAGGGCTTCCRGGCCAGCTGCCGCGTGCGGGGCTCCCGCACTCACCCCGGCTCCCGCACCGCGGCGCCCAGCCCGCCGAGCCTCGCCGTGCCCCCGGCCGTCCGGCTGCCCACACCCCCRGGAGCCCCAGCACGGCAAGTGTCCTTCTGTGATTCGGATCAGGAAAGGGACAGTGTCAGTGAAGATGCCTGAAGGGGCCAGTGACACCCAGGTGGGCCCAGATAGGCTGASGTCTTGCGGCATTTCTCTGGGAAATTGCAGTTCTGGTGCTGTCGTGTCCCGAGGGGCTCCAACTGCCACCCACATCAGTCCAGTTTTATATCAACCCTGTTGCAAAGGAATCAAATATTTGCATGGAGAGCATGTGGTTGGCTCTCCAGCTGAGCGGGTGGAGCATGCCCTTGCAATGGGGGACGAGGACTTCTGCTCTGGAGGAGGCTGAAGTCCTTTTTCTTTCCATGCAATGGTGAGGGGGGCAGGAACTAGCCATCCGTGTCCTCACTCAGAGGGGGAGATGTCCAAGTTACCAAACTACAGACAGCTTCATGCCTCAGCCTCCTCTCTGAGTCAGAAAATATTCAGGGTTGCTATGATGGAGCATTGGAGTCTACTAGACCTATTCACTGCAACGTCAACCAGAAAGCAGCCTTGTTTAGAAAAAAAATCAGGACACAGGCTGGCAATACAAAGATTGGTGTCCAAATCACGTTGTACTGTATCCTTGCTGGTAGGTCCTCTCCTCAGAGTAGTGGCTCTTGTTGGGATGCTCCCAAGAAAGGTTCAATACAGCAAGTAGTCACCCCTGTGCCCTGCAGGTCCGGGTCTGTCCACCACAATCAGTGACTCAGAGACTTGCTTCTCCTGGGTCAGTACCTAGAGACAGAGTACCTGGTACCTCAGAGACAGAGTTTAGCTTGTCCTAGCAGGAGGCAGCCAAGCCTTTGAGCTGCCTCCTTCAGGGCTTCGAAGAACAGGGGAAGGAGGCCCCAGCCTCCCGGCTGCATGACGGATGAAGAAGGATGGAAGAGCTTTGCAGTTGAGCCCTGACAGTGCTGGAGGCTTGGCTGAAGGTTTGAAGCTGCCCCTGAGCTGTGCAGGGTTTGATGGAGAAACCTGGCCTGTGTTGGGAGCCAGCATGGGGCTCAGCAAGGGGTCGTGTTGCACGCYGTCCCACGTAGGACATCCTGCACGAGCTCATCCTACGTGAGCACATGGCTGCTATTTCAGGATCCTCTCTCTCTCCTGTAGGGGGGATCTCAGCAGCCGGGAACAGCACCGGGAACAACACCAGGAACAGCACCGGGAGCAATACAAGTGAGTAGCATCTCGCACCCCTCAGGCTCTGCTCTGTKCATGTCCCATATTCCTGGTCCCCTGCAGAGCTAGAGACATCCCCATCTTCGCAGCCCTTGCCCGCATCTCGCAAAGCTTGGATGCTGCCTGTGGGACCTCAAATCCCACCTCCACTCAGACACGTTAGAGCACGTAGCTCGGATCAGGACCGGGCAGCTGATTCCTGCGCACGCTGTTCGTGCCATTCCCCTCTTCAGGGCACTGATCATGAATCCTGCAACCCACGTTCAGTCCTGGGAACAAAATCCAGGCAAGAGCACAAAATACAGCAGAAATAGCATATACAACCCAATAAAAAACGTGCTAGCAATGAGGAGAAAAGACTGGTGAAGACACAGATCTTGCAAAGGCTTCACAGTGTGTATCAGCTCCCGTAACTCCATGATAGGCAGCACTTTTGGACCTAAGCTGGGGCTAACAAGATTAATTGAACTCCATGGGGCTTTGCCTCTAACGCTTTTAAGTGCTCGGGCTCTTGGCCCTGGTTCGTGTCCTACAAGGTGGCAGGGGAGCATTAGCAGAGGCTTTTGCACGAAGGAGTAATCCTCTTACAGCTGCTGATTTAGAGAGCTGATTTTAACCATATTGAACAGATTGGTTTTATCTTGCATGTTTTAATTATGGAAACCAAGAAAAATGCAAGAAAACCAAGTCTAGAAGCTAAATTAGCAGCTGGAGTTAAGTTGTGTTTTACAGAGAAGCATTAGTTATGAGGAAAGTATAAAGAACAGTAGCAATTTTGAGTATATATAAATGAGTTTTAAAGGCCATGGAACTGTGTCTGGAAACTAAGAGATTGCCTGTGAAGAGTTCCTGGGTAAACAGCAAATTTTATGGCCTGGGACCTCACACTCAGTACCCAGCCCAGTGCTCACTTGGATTATTTGCACACAAAGAGCAATTTCTTCTCTTCCAAGGAGGAGTTAGTTGAGGGCTGGGATGGGGAGCGGGCGGTGAGCACCCTTGTCCCCCAGCAGCGATGACGTGCTCCTGGGTCCACCAGTACCCGCGCTTCGTGGCAGCCAAGAGGAACATGCCCGTCCAGTTCATCTGCTACTGCAGCGAGCCTCAGCACATGCAGTGGTACAAGGTGCAGGACAATGGGCGGCTCTACAGGCTGGAGGGCAACACCTCCCACTACAGCGTAGAGTGGAAGGACCGCTTCATCAACTTCACCATCTTCAAGATCGCCTACAAGGACAACGGCCTCTACGTGTGCGACAGGAAAAACCTCACGGAGGCAAAGCAGGTGCACGTGTGTGGGACTGAGCTCCGAGTCATGAGTGAGTGAGAGTCCCCTATGCCCTGCTCGCCTCCACGTCCTCCAGCCCCACGACCCAACAAACACCCTTTCTCCATATGCACCTCTTACTTTTCCCCCTCCAAATGAGTCCCACTCATCATGTCCTTGTGTCCCCAATGCCTCTGAGATCGCTTTGGAAACAAATTTGGCACCACAGTTGCTTCTTTGCACGCTACCAGCTGAGCAAGCAGCTGAATAACCCTCCTCATTTGTCATGGTCCATGCATACCCCATAAACCTACCCCAGTGCCTTCATTTCCCTGAGCAGTGACTTTCTGCTTGTCCTGGGCAATGATGGGTCCTGTCCAGGACATCTCATCCTACAGCTAGCCCCTGGTGCTGGTCCCAGCACTGCTATGTAGTGTTCAGGTCTCTCCTCAGGGTGAGGAGGTGTTCCCAAGGTCACCCCAGCTCTACCAACACCTCTGTCCTGGCCTGAACCCACCGCCATGGAAAGCGTGTCCCCTTTCCCTGGCATGAGGAGGGACTTGGGCTTTTCCCTCGCTCCTAGGTCACAGCAACATCCAGCAGATCCAGAACAGGAACACCCTGAAAGATGCTATCATCATCATCCAGACCATCCTGCTCGTCGTCTTCATCAGTGTCCCCTTGCTCTTCTTCCTAGATAAAGTGAGTGACAGAATTTCTACCAGTGGGGATGTCCCTAGCTTTGCCACTGCCTCCCTCATAGTGGTGTCACCCACCAGACTGGTACCTGGCAGCAAGGATATCACTAGGGATGGGAAGGGATTGTTTATTGGGACATTGCATGAGGTCCCCTGTGCCCCATGACATAACGTGCACCAGCAGTTATGTGGGGGATGGCAACACTCAACCTGTAACTCTTCTCTCTGTAGGGTGAAGGCAAGGAAAGCCCTGAGGAGGACCACACCTACGAGGTAATACTGAATTAATTATAGGCATACCTCTGTGATATCAGCTTGATCATTGAAATAGCCCATTGTATCCTCAGGGGTGTTTGCTAGGAACCACAAGCCTTTGCAGGAGCTACCAGGGCACCTTTTTCCCAAGTGTCTGTTGTGCATGATCCTTAAGAACTTCTCCTAAAAACCAACCAGGCTCTAAGCACTTGCAGCCTTCTGTCTCCATTTCCCCCTTTCAGATACTGCCCTGATCTCCAGGGAGATCATCCAGAGATAGGTCCCTGCTCATGAGTACGGAAGGGGGGACATGCCACAGCGAGTGCCACGCTCCCCATAGTGTTTCTCAGCCTCATTCCTCTTGCCACAGGGCCTGGAAGTGGAACAGATGGCCACCTACGAGGACATTACTCCTTTCCGGGATGTGAAGGCCAAATGGACAGTCGGGGAGCATCCGGGCGAGGAGTGAGAGCCCCTGCACCCACCATCATGCAGGCACCCATGGCACCGCTCTGCATTGCACCCACCATCAACCTGCTGGCCCCCGAGGGACAGGACCCTGGTTGGTCACGGGTACCTCAGCCCCAGGCTGGGCTCATGGACTTAATCATCGTTACTGAACATGCCGTCRCTGGAGCCTTGCGCAGAGCTTGAGCCCTCCTGCCCTTTGCTCTTTGCTTTGGCTCGTCCACAGCCACATCTGGACTATGCCCACTGAGACTGTCCTGCCCCAGGTGTTGCTTTTACTGCCCCACTGCTTAATCCCTTAAGCATATGTAGAAACTAGTAGCCAAYTGTGGCTGCCCAAACAGCCCCAGTATCTCAGCCAGCCTCACATCGACACACTGAGCTCCAGTGTATTCCAGGCAACAAGGGCACCAGTGTGGGCAGTCTCTTCTAGCCCTCATGTCCCCAAAGAGGAGATGCAAGGGCCAAATATGATGTCTCCTTGTGTTGCATGGACCCTCCTGAGCTGTAAGACCCCACTGCAGCCCCCCTTCACTCCTGGCAGATCAGACAAGGTCAGCAACACCCCATGGGTTGGCACAGTGGGTGTCATGAATAGACAACCTTGTACCACCTTTAGTGTTCAAACTAGCTGTCAAGTTGCAGATCTGTCCAGCAGGCCAAGCTGGGGTTGTCTTAGATGAAGGATGTCCCAGAAGTGCCTTTTCCTACCCAAGAGTGATAGGAAAGGCTGGGAGACAGCTTTGACCTGGAGAATCTTGTGTAGATCTTGCTCCTGTCCAGACAAGAGCTGGCCGGCATGACAAGGAGTTCACCCTTGGCACGAACCATGTGTGACCTCAGGACCCATGGGTAGGATATACACGGCGGGACACAAATGTCCAACTGCTTTTTGAAGACCTAATAAAGGTAACAGGTAGATCCTTGTCCTACTTTGTCCTGCTCTAGACATTCGAGCTCCACCCTGCTGTGCCCAGTCCTGGTGCATCCCATAACCCTGGTGCCAGTGGGATGCCCTGGGCCCCGCACCACGAATAAGGAGCAATAAGAGCAATTTGCTCCCTGGACGGGAAACCACGTGTGTTCCCACTAGGAAAGGACCAACCTTGCTCCTCAGCAGGGACATGGTAGTGTCAGCCTGCCCGAGGGACACAGAAAATGAGCAATTCAACATGCTCAGTGGGTACGGAGCTGCTGCTGGGTCCCAAGGCTAATGGGGGATGAGGGACTGGTTAAAAAACTTGACCACTGCTGCCTTGCAGGGTTGACTAGGGAAGAAAAAAAGTCACTTCCAGGGATAAATTAGCCATGACATGAAGCAGCTGGGAGGGAACATCCTGGTCTGCGTGCACGTGTCCCTTGGTAGCGGAGGGAGCCTGGCTTGAATGTGTAGATTTTGTTCTGAAAAGTGAGGGCAAAAATGGGAGCCAATAGGACTTTYCAGCAGGTGACAGGGTGGTTCTTGTTTACTGGTAGCCACTTTCATGGAAATGGGGTCTCAATCTAAATAGCACAAAACCAGCATTTTAAGGGCATATTTTATTAGCAAAATCAAACTATCCTAAATTAGTTACATCCATATGTATATAAATATTGCTTAAACATGTTTTACTTATAAGATTGATTAATGAAAGAAAGAAATGCTCACCGTGGGAGAAGTGAACTGCCTGCTCCTGGTTCCCACGTTTGCCCAGATTTCGGAGCTCATCCCTCTGTGCCTTGTTTTCCTTTAGGAAATGAAAGGGGAAGGCAACTTTTCCGGTCTTCGTAATTCCCAACTGCTTTCTCAGCTTCATATAAACAACCCACTGAATTGGCTTAGCTGAACAGGATGAAATAAGGAGAGTCTGCTGCTTGCACCTGGAGAGGAAGCGCTGATGTCAAAAGCAGTTTCAGCAACCCCAGTTCTGCTCTGCTGCTCAACTCCCCACTTAGCTCAGGGCCTTGGCCTCCTTGAAAATGCCAGAACCAAATCAATGTTTCGGTAGTGCTGGGGTTTTATTTCAAACTCTTTGATTAGTTTCTAGTGAAGCTAGAGTCAAGTTTTGTTGTAATTTTATATTGGTGCAGGCTTGTATTTAAATTTCAGCTAGTGTAAATAAATSCATTTCAGTATATACTCTATATTGTTAGCTGATTTGTATTCMTGCTAGCAGCAGGATGAGCAGACAGACAACTGTCTGAAGCCCCATTGGGGTGTAGTCCTGGATCTACCATTTCCAAATGTGTTTGATGGAGCTGCTCCCTTTCCTATCAGTGGAACTAGGAGGCTGCATCAAGCAGTTCTAGCTCTGGTAAATAAAAGCACCAGTTCAATCTGAAAAAAGAGTATTTATCATCTCAGGAGTTGGTGAGYGAGCAGAGATGCTCAACATCTGCCTACAAGCTGCATTAACCACATGGTTGCCCACCAARTTGCTCAGCCAGCCCTTTGAGCTGGCTCCTGGGTCGGAGCTCCAGCTCACAYAGCAAATACTAATTTTCACCACACTCAGCAAAAAGAGGATGCTTTTTGCTCACACCTCATGAAGATGCTTGAAGGGGGACCACCTTGAAGAGAATTCAGGTATTTTTCCTCTTGCAAAAGAGAAAAGGAAATTAGAAATGACAGAACATCATGGCGTTTTATGAGACACTACTTTGGGTCAAAAATAAGGGCACTTGAAAGCTAGAAAAAGGTCAAATCCGTGTGTGAGAGACAGTTATGCAACTGTAATTTGTTAGCGTCATGTGTTTGGCCAGTGCAGGTCATGCACCACCTTCTTCACAGAAACTCTGCTTCTTTTAATGTCCAGGGTGATATAAGCAAGGAACAAAYCAGGTCCAGGGACACCACACAGCCTGGAACATCCTGGCATCTCCGCACTTGGCTACAACATAAAAAGCATTGATTAATCACCGTGATTTACTATCAGAGCTGGCGAGACACCAGGGCAAGGACTTAGCTGAAGGCACTGTACAAATCTAGCTGCAGCGGTGGAGCATCGTTGCTAACCAGGGAGCAGAGCCCGTGCTGGGCTGGGGTGCTCTGCTCATCTCTGACCAGTATTGACATAATATTTAAACACGATCTGGAGCAGAAAAACACCCCCAGATGTTGCTGGCTATTGGGTGACTGGATACCTGATAGCAGCAGGACCCACTGTTCTCGCTTCTCTAGGTACTGACATTTACGCTGTGACACCACCGGGTCTCCAGCAACAAACAGCGAGGGGCTTCTCGGAACAGACCGCGCTCTCCCCGGCATGTTTATTAAGCAGCTCTCCGGAGACGATGCTGCCTCATGGAAACTGGAACCCTCCAGGCCAACCCAGGGCCATGGGCACCAAGTTTGCTGCCCGTGATGGCTGGACTGTCCCTGAGAACAGCCGTGGACAAAAAGGGACAGAGCACGGTGGCTTGGGGCAGTTGGTGCCTTGGAAGCAGTAAATTCTTCCGGTTTCACTGGTGTTGGCCATCCCAGGTCCTGCCTCATCCTCTTCAACGGCCAGGAGACATATGCTATGATCTCTGCTTTTCCTCCACCTCCTCTGCACTCTTGATTCCACAGCAGCCCTTTGCTTAATCCACAGATGGTTCATGTCTGTATCTCGCCCAAAGAGCAGAAGGTGCTTCACAGGAGGTCCTTCTCAGAGCTTTGCCCAGCTGAAGAGCTGAGGAACCTCCCAGAGCTCTGGGATCTGCATTTGCAAAGGGCAGGTTGGTACCCGGAGAAGCACATGGCTAGGAGGGCACTTCGTCAAGCCTGTGCTAGGTGAGCCAGCTCACTCGAACAATTTTGTTCTGTCCCTGTTTGGAAACAGCCCCTCTGTGTTTTACACTTCGCATTCTCCCAACGTAGAGTTTTGCAAATGACTTTCYCAGTTCAGTACTTAAACAGTCATATCAGGAAAATTACATTTGTCCTGTGTTTTTAATTCCACAYGTAAATAAATTAATACATTGGCTGAAGCTGTGAATCAAACCATTACCTCAAAGGACAAAAGATGCTTTGTTTCTTTTTCAAAAAAAAAAAGAAAAAAAGGCCTTTTTCCACCAAAACTATTTGCTAATTTTGTGAAGTTTTAGTAGCAAGAAAAAAGCTACACGGTAGACAAATAATTTATCTTGGAAAATCCATCCAGCTCTATAATATAATGCAAAAAAAAAAAAAAAAAAATCCCACTTGCTTTCTGTCAGAAGTCTTCCAAACTGACCAGTTTGTCTTGTTAACTGCAGGTCAGAGCCCACCTGGAGCAGCTGGGAAACCTGGTGGGTTTTCTACCCACTGTGGGAAATTCCATTGTGTGAAAGAGCTGATCTGATTCAGGTTGGGTCTTCCAATGATGATAAGACCCCTATTTGCAATAAACAGAATATGGAGAAATAATTCAGCGTGAATTTTATCCCTAGGCAAACATCCTCCCCAACTTTTAAATCTATGTATAAATGAGTACAATTAGGTAGCACCATTGTGAACACGTGTGCATTTATGCATGGGGAAGATACAGAGAGGTTGTTGCGATCATGAACACAAAATATACATTTTAAACAGAACCCCTACTATATAAGGGGTGGCTCAACAGTTACCAGACCCAGATGAAAGGAAGAATCATTGATTTTCAAGCAACACCTGAGCAACTCACCAGTCAGAAATGGCTCCAGGTATTTTTCTTTATTTCAATTTTAAAGGATTGCCTGCATGCCTAGGGTGGTGGGAGATAGGGTACACAGGAGGTGGTGGGGTGGTGGGCCATATACATTCAGTGAGAGCCCTAAATTAAAATGTGTAACTCATAAATCAATGAAATGGAATAGAATTCCCTACAGTGTGACCTTGATGAATTGACGTAGACAATCATTAGCCTCAAAAAAGGCTTGTGAACATGAAGAACAAGGGCAGCGGCAGTTACAGTAGTTACTACTAACAAAAATTCGGGCAGTGATATTAAAACTCACGTTTAAGGCTTAAGCCAGGGATCAGGATGATGTCTAGTGCAGAAGACCTACATGCTTCAGGGTATTCCTCCACCACAAGGTATTAGGCTGAGCTTATCTCTGTGGTCTCAGTAAGCACAGATGGACACTTGCATGGATTAAAAGCTTTAGGCTTGACCAAGACCACCAAGTCTTACAGGTGTGTCCGGCAGAGAACAAAAGTGCTTTAGTGCCCATATGGGCAAGGAAATCAGCTCTTGTCCCAGTGGAAGCAGGCAGTAGGTGAGGTAAAACAAAGGTAAAGTGAGTTACTTCCAGTCCTTCACCTGGGATGGTACCTTGTACTCACTGTCCTCTGCTTGCTCACTGCACTCTCCTCCTGAGGCCGTGACCTAAAGAAAATCCTGATGATCATGTTAGGGAAAACAGCAGGGATGCACTCTAGTTTTCAAGGAACAATGATGACTTCAGCCAGGAAAACAGTGTTCGTAGCAGGGAGTAGCACAAGGGCTGAGGTCTAGAGAGAAAGGAGGGATTTTCGCTTGTCTTAGGGGAGCTACGGATCTAAGTTTACTTACGGAGACAAGACGTCCAGCAAGGTGAGCCCTCAGATGGCAAGGCCAGAAGAGGACGAGTAGAAACTCACAGATGCCACCCACTCCTCAGCACAGTCACTGAGAAACTGCTAACCTCTCTCTCCTTCTCTTTGCTGTAGGGTCGTGGTTTTCTCCTCTCTTCATCGCGGTGATCGCACTGGGATTGCAGTGGCCACAGGAAGCTGCAACCTTCCCGGCCATGCCCCTTTCCAACCTGTTTGCCAACGCCGTGCTGAGGGCTCAGCACCTTCACCTCCTGGCTGCCGAGACGTACAAAGAGTTCGTAAGTGTTGCGGTACCGGGGCATCGACTCCTTGTTCTGTTGGTGGTCTGGGGACTGCGCCCGGGCATCTACTCCTCCTATTACTAACCCAAATGTTTTGTGCAATTGTATTAGCACTTTGGCTTAACAAGAGGATGACCTTTAGCTCCAGTAACTGTTGAGCCAGCTTGGGAACTCCTGCTCCCTATCTGACAGCCTTGCACGGACATGCTTTTTATTTCATCTTTCTTGCAAAGAGTAACCATTCAGAATACCACGACAAAAGTGATCAAGGGAGTGTATTTGGGATGTCCCCACAGGAACGCACCTACATTCCGGACGACCAGAGACACGCCAACAAAAATTCCCAGGCAGCATTTTGTTACTCGGAAACCATTCCTGCTCCCACAGGGAAGGACGATGCCCAGCAGAAATCAGTAAGTTCTCTCCCCTCGGCAAGCTGCTGCTTTTAAGAGCCCAACTGTGTTTCAATAGGGGACCAGAGGATTTCCACCTGCAAGGTTTTTTATCTCCAGCACTTCTGAGGTACTGTTCTTCTTCCCCTGCTTCACCGTGCACACTCTGCATGGAGAAAGATTCCTCCRGATTAGGCTATAAATCATATTCCCTTACCAAGGAGGAGATAAAAATACTGTTTGCACAGCATAGTTTTCTGGGTAGSACTTCTCAGCTCTTTATATTTGCTAAAGCTGCGGAAGCAGTGACATCTCTGGGTCACCTTTGGGCTGTTTCAGAGGAATGGGGACACACAGGTAACTCCACAACTCACCTACAAAACTCTGACCACTGTTTTCTTTCATTTCAGGACATGGAGCTTCTTCGTTTTTCRCTGGTTCTTATCCAGTCCTGGTTGACTCCGGTGCAATACCTGAGCAAGGTGTTCACAAACAATCTGGTTTTTGGCACCTCAGACAGAGTCTATGAAAAACTGAAGGACCTAGAAGAAGGGATCCAAGCTCTGATGAGGGTAAGTTGCAGCATGTGTCGTGATTGCAGGATACCAGATATCTCCCAGACTCATGGCACAGACCAGTCAGGGTCTTCCCCACGATCCAAAGACCGTGGAAAAGTCCCCACCTCCACTGGAACCTCTTATGATTTTTCATCATAATCAAACTATGACACTCCACTGCACCTATTTCTTCAATGGGTAATATAAGAAAAAGCATAACGTCAATAATACTGCCCTAATCACTCAGATCACAGAGAGGAAGGTGATCTTCAACATGACTTTAATGACATTTTACAGAAACAAACCCCTTTACATCTGTACAGGTGGAAGCCCTTACTTTCATGTCTCTCCCTTAAATGAGATTTTCAGGAATACAGCATTTAGAGAGCAGACAGAGAGAGAACGATCTTCAGAAAGGGCAYTTCATTCCCTGCTTTTGTCTTTTTTAAATGAAACTGTTGCCTATCAGGATCCCCTGCCAGGTGAGTTCACTCTGTAAGGAAGTCTATCTGGCAGCACCAAAATGTAGCTAGATCTTGAGCTCTAGATCTCTGTGAAATGAGTCTAGAAATTTATTTACAGTTTTAATCATCTAAATAACCCTGAAAGCCAAGCTCTGAGAGCAAAAGGAGATATTCTGTCCTGGTCCAGCTTCAGCTGCAGAAAGGCATCATTTGAGTTTCCAGGTTTCAGTTGCCATTTCGTTATATTCTAGGGTATTGGGAAGTGGTATAGAGAAACCAAACAAATGTATCGCGTCAGTTTAAGCCACTAGTTGAGTTAATGAAAAAAACGTTGTTTTTGCTGTGTCAGATATCGAGCAAAGTGGAGCAGGAGCGGTAGCAGGTCGCACATCTCTGATCTCCGGATGCACGAAGCTGGGTCTGGGTTAGAGCTTTGTTCCCTGGGAAAGTGGGAGAACAGACAGAGTTATTTGCCTCTTTCCCCATCTCTTGGGGTTGCCATGGGAAAACCCTGAGCATTTTCACCTTTTGGGAGGCCCCGGAAGACGCCGGCTGCCCTCGCTGCAGCACGGGGGCCGGCTCGCTTTGCGATGACGGTCTCATATGCGTGAAACCGGCTGCAGAACCATCCCCGCACCTGGGGTCTTCTTGTAAACACGTAGCTTACCAGAAACTAGTGGGATATATGAGGGCCTAAGAGGGAAAAAAAAAAAAAAAAAGGCAAGGAAAAAAAAAAGTTTTTTAAAGCTATGTGGCAAAAGGAACCTGAAACTGCTCCAAAGCTGGTGAAGAAGGGCTGACTGAAGAAGGATGGAAGGAATGGTGGACACAGGAAGCACCACACAAGGAATTCCCTGTCCGTCCCCCTCTGTCCTCCTCCATCCACCTCTATCCACATCCCTGCACCTCCGGTCCCCTCCATCCATCCCCTCCGTCCCGGCTAACGCCCGGCACCTCCTGGCAGGAGCTGGATGACCGGAGCCCGCGGGGGCCGCCGCTCCTCAGATCCACCTACGACAAATTCGACATCCACCTGCGCAGCGAGGACGCCCTGCTCAAGAACTACGGGCTGCTCTCCTGCTTCAAGAAGGACCTGCACAAGGTGGAGACCTACCTGAAGGTGATGAAGTGCCGCCGCTTCGGCGAGAGCAACTGCACCATCTGAGGGGCGAGCGCAAGGGGGGCCCCCGCGCCCCGCCGCGGGCACCCGTTTGGCCTGAGGAGAATAAAGCCGCTACCCGCTGAGCCTGTGTGTGTCTCGCTGCGCCCTTCCCCGCGGCCACCATGAGACCCTCCTTCCCGGGAGAGCGGCGGGGGCCGGGCCGGGCTGAGGGGGCCGGGCCGGAACATCTTCCCTTCCGCGGGCCCGGCATGGCGGAGGTGCTGGAGTTCCGCGTGCCGGCAGCGAGCGCCCAGACGCTGCTGCTCTGGGGGCTGGAGGCAGCGCCGGGGCTGGAGGTGAGGAGAGACCCGTGGGGCCGCGGCCTCCCCATGGAGGAGGAGCCGCGGCCTCCTGCCCGGCGCCATTTTCTCTCAGCGCGCCAAGAACACGTCCTTCTTTTTAGTTTCTTATTATCATTCTGTGGTCTCTCTGGGCCCAGCGTGGCCCCGAGGTGTGGCAGAGAACACCCAACCCGACTTTCAGCCCCGTCCTCAGTGTCTGGGTCCAGTAAAACACTCAATGAGCGGGAATAAAGTCAGTCTATCTGTGTAAGAAGAKCTGCTCTGAGGCCAAGCAGTGGGCGAAGAGAGTCTCGGATGAGGACGGGGGGACAGGATGCTGGGGACAGAAGACCCAGGGACACGTCTTTCCTCACAGACAAGAGGCAGGATAATATTGGGAATGAGATGCTAGCAGAGTGAGGGGTTTCAGTGTAAGTTTGTGGGGAAAAAAGTGGTTATCTGCCTAATATATTTGGTCCTCCTGATTATTGCAGGKAGTGCTGCTGCTATACAGGAAAAACAGCACAAAACGTTGCTTGTTTTGTATGCAGTCAGGTCCTGGGAATTGTCCTGTCCCCGCAGCTGCTGCTCCTACCGCGGAGCAGCTGCAAGGGATCCTCAAAGCGCCCGTGTCTCCGTTGCTTTTCCTCAGCACTCCCTGTTTTCAGCGTTTTCCCAGTTCGGGCCGCTGTACTCGGTGCGCGTGCACAGGAACGCTGCCGTGGCAGGGCCTGGCTGTTACGCCGTGCTCAAGTTTTATTCCTGCCGAGATGCCCGCAGAGCCCAGCGCGTGTGCAACGGGCAACGGCTCTTCCAGAAATCTCCCTTGAAGGTAGGTGAAGTGGCCCTGGGTGTGAAACCTCCTCTCCCCCAGAGCCACCAGTGGGGTGTCCACAGTGGGAACTCTGGAAGCAAAGTCTGGACAACCAGGGCTCTTCTCTCCCCAACAGGTTTGTGTTTGCACCAAGCAGAGAGCGATTCAGATGCCGGTGCTGGCTCTCAACAGCAACAAATGCCAAGAACTGGCCAACCACTACCTTGGCTTTAACGGCTGGTCCAGTCGCATCATCACAGTAAGGGGCCCTTTCTGTCCATCCCTTCCTCCCTTCCTCCCATCCATTCTGTTCCTCCCTTCCCTCATCCCACGCTCTAAACTGGAGCAATTGGTGGGATGAACAGAATTGTCCTCAAATTATTGCCAGCCACAGGAGCAGTGCTTTGGACCACAAGTGAGGGTGTTCTGAAAGCCCAGGGAGAGAAGAGCGCTGTGGGCAAGGGCGCTGACTGCGTTTCTGTTCGTGCAAATGGGACTGCTTTCATGTGGCTGTGTTTGAAGCAGTGCCAGAACGTGACAACAGTCTTCATGTGCTGAAAGTGTTTGAGATGACTAAGATGGGGCTCAGGGACCCCGAGATGTTTCTGCATGAGAGTCAGAAGAGCGAACATCCCTGCTGTGGCTCTGCAGTGTGTTATTGACCTAGAATCACGCACTGTGCAGAGGAGGTCTGCACTACGCAGGCATGGACCCAGGTGATCACTGTATCCCCTTTCTGTTTAATTGCTCCATTTAATTGTAATTATTTTGTGGTCTTCCTGACAGCTGCAGAATGTTTCTGGCTTTGACGATGAGAATGAGGAGATGGGAAAGACCTTGCAGAAGCAATCCCTTAAATATGTGTGTGTTGTGGAAGTGACAATACCCAGGCACGGGGTATGCAGCAGGGGAGTTGGCCTTGCCGAGGCCAACATAGAAAATGGTGAAGGTAGGTTTTTGCTGCACAAGCTGCCAGAGGCTGGTCCTCCTTGCATTTTGGGAATCTGATGTAAGATCTCTGTTTAGCTGGAGACAGGAATGTGCAAGGGCCTTGCGAGCTGCTGTGCTCTACAGCAAGGCATCCTGAACATGCCTGTTTCCTCTCTACTTCACACCACTACTTTCTCTTACCTGTAGGATTATTCATTTCCTGCCTGGATTATTCACGGTTGCCTTTGATGTGAGCATGCTGTGCTCACATCAGTTCTCAAGAGATCCTCAGCTTGTGGCACAGCTCAGATGCCTGCTGGGGTCGTCACCCCTGCCTGGTGCCTTGGGCAGGGTGCTGTTGTAGGGCTGAGAATGTGCTGCTTTGCCTAGGTTGGTGCACAGAGCCCTCATGAGGACACTGACACACTGCAAATTACTGACAAAGCATAAGCAGCTTTCTCATCAGATCCATATCAGTATATTTGGTTCCCAGGGGAATTTTGCTTACGTTTCGTAGTACGAGGCAGTTTGCTTTCATATGTAAAGTGTCATCCTAACATCAATAACCTATGTCTCCTTTGGTTTAGATCCTCTCGAGTTTGTCACAGCCACAAGAAGAGTTCAGAAACTCGCAGTTGGGAAAGCTTTATCCAGTGCTTTTCAGAAGATACTCCTCGTGGTTTTAGGTAAGGTTTGTTTTTGTGTTAAGCACTAGGGTGTTTGGACTGAGGACTATATAACTTCCATGAAAATSAACGTGAGTTCATTTACCCAGAACCTTGCTTAGGATTCAGTGGGGTTTGGGGAGTCTCAGTGGTGGTGTGCAGTGATTTAACCGAGTGGTCCCGCCACGTGAGCTGTGTAAGTGAAAGGAAACAAACCGATCTTTCATTTCTGAAATGCTTAATAGCACTGTAGGTGCACATGCTGAATATGGAGGTGAGCGCAGTGCAGGGGTAGCATTACTGGAACTGCAGCGTGTTGCRTGTTCCTGTCTGATTCCTGGCCAGGCAGTTGTCACAGTCCATGCCTTGCTGTTGCACACAGTGTTGTGCCTTAGGGGCTACTGTCAGTGCRGTTTGTAACTATAGAAATTGGCTCTGTGCCTAGAAAGTCATCTCTGCTCTCTGTGGGTTCTTTGYGTTGTGCTCTCTGAGCTCTTAGATGATCCCCTTTTATGTAATATCTGAGTACTTCAGTCTCATGCATTTGTCTCATTAGGACATACCCTCGTGTGACCAGGTCAATGCTGCTCTACTTAATTTAACACAGAGGAGCCCTTTCCAATAAACACCCCTTCGTGCTGAGTCACTGGTACAGCAGGAACTTGCTCTGTTGAATCCAGCAGGATTTAAATACCTGTCAGGTTCTTCCCATGGGTTCTTTGAGACCTCCTTTGGAAAGGTACATCTCTGGACTCCGATGTTTTGCAGCGCTACCTGCCTTCTGGCCCACCACGTAACAGAGACCAGCAATTATCATGCTACTGCTTCATCTGTTCTGCTTCTTCACTTTCAAATTCCTTTTCATTTAGTCACAGCCTTTTGATTTCCTGCAGAGAAGACAGGCACGTAGGTCTGAGAAAAAGGCAGCTCTGCAGATTCACAGCAGGCCGTTTAAGTTGTGCCATGCAGTAACTACCACTTTTCTCCCCCATGCCTCATAATTAACATCACAAACCCTTCTCTTCCTTCCTTTTTGGGCGCTTTCAAAACTACAACAGTCCTCAAAGTGGTACAGCCCAATCCTGTTTCCATCGGAGCTTGTTTGACAGTAGAAGCAACCTCATGCCCTCTGTTTCTGTACCCAGCTGTGACAGGAGGAGTCACGAGCTCTGTCCACATCCATAGTAACACTGCAGCCAGCAAGYGCTGCCTAAATCGATATGGGAAGTTCAGTGTTTCACAGTAAAATGGCTGTATTATGCAAATGAACAAATCACCTAGAGCCCGTGGTCTGTTATGCAAGAATAAAATGGCCCTGTTCTATCTACCGCCATGCTGAACAATGAGCAGATTGATCCTGTTCAGCCCCATCCTGAGAAGGAGTTTGGGTTGTATTTGTTATTTTTACACGCAGTTGTGTCTCTGGCTGTTTATTCTGTGTATTTGATTCAGACAAYGGTAAAGTGGCTGTGGAATACAACTGCACCCAAGAGGAGCCCACAGACTCTTTAACAGAAGAGGAACTGAAGGGGCTAATTCAGGTAAACCYGGGGGATATTTAGCTTTGTACGACAGCTGTGTGATACATCTAGAGATGAGACACAGTTGTTACTGCTACGCCCTCAGAAATCCTCTGTTTGTGCAATGACCTGAACTTGAAGTCCAGAAAGTAATTGCACCTTGGAATTCTACAACACAGTAAAGTTTTAAGATTCTTAATTTCTTGGGTATCTTTGTGCAGAGTTGCAATGATATTTTAAATAGCACAGGATAAYGAGCAGTTGGATGATGTGGGCTGACAGGTCCTGCACCTGACAGTGTCCAGGCCTCCTTTCTCATAGAATGTGAGAGTGAAAATCCCAGCAAAGTTTGAGTAAGCTAAAGCAAATGATTTTTAATAAGTTCTTAAATAAATGACGCTCTTTATCTAGAAAAGAATTTCACAAATTTATTCTTACCCCGGAGGGAATGCTTGTTAAAAGGCTATATGAAATCCCTGTGGTTAATCATGGGATCTGTTAGCATGCAAAGAATAAAAATATCCAGGTGCAATAATAAAACTTTTATCATCCTGCTCAGCGAGATGAAGTTTTGCCTTTGTGCACAGCACGTCCTGAACGGGGGGGTGTTTTCATCTTGCTTGGTTTGACAGCAGTTATTTACCAGGGAAAGTCACTGCTACGGTGCTCTTCTGAAAGCAAGCAGCAGTCTCACATGATGTGTCAGCAACGTGCGGTACAGTGTCCAGCTCCTCCTGCAATTTGCATTAAGGAAATGTCTAATGAACCTTGTGACACATTACCCCATTTCATGACATTGAGTCACCTGGTATCAGCAGACAGAGTTCCTTTCTTGCTGCAGTGTAACCCTAAAATACGAGGTATTTTTCTATGTGAAGTAACTRATATCCATCACAAATATCAGCTGGAAGGAATGCATTTCTGCTGTTTTGTGCTCTGTGCATTTTCTTCTGCCCCTTTCAACTCCTACTTTTATTTAAACTCAGGGAGAAGTGACCTAACATTTAATGGCCATTAGAGTGCAGCAAAGCGAGGCAGGAAGCCTGCTGCTTCTCAAACCTGCATTTACCAGGTTTGTAAACCTCATCCCTCACCTCCCCTGCAGTCTCCCGCTCCTGGTGATGGTGTGTGGGAGCAATTTGGTGGTGTCTCCACAAGGCACCTACCAGCCCCAAGTGAATAGCTAACACAGGAATTCGGAACAGCTCTCATGGCAGGAGAGCTGCGGGGTGCCCTTTCAGTTCATTGCCTTGTGATTTTGGTCAGTCATTCTGAAATAGAAACGTTCCTGAGTTTGTAGATTCCCATTCCTGATTTGTACAAAGGCCGTCTCTTGTACATGGTAACAAGTGCATTCTGTTTCAAGGTGCAGGGAGAGGAAGTTAGAATATGTGGGAGAGAAACTAATTCAGTATTGATTTCTTTTCTCAGGTCAATGAATTGTCCTTGGACCAGATTGACTTTGARGAAGAGGAAGTTTTGTCTGATCTCAGCTTTGATGATAACCTCCTTCAACAGGAGGCACTGTCTAATTAGTGTGGCCCAGTCTTCAGATATTTTGTAAAGTGCTGCGGTATCTGATTGAGATTGAAAGTCTAAAGCTGTGAAATGACATCTGCCTCATATCCAGCACTTTCCCCAAATACGTAACGGAGAAAGAAATGGGCAATAAACGTGGYGTTACTAAAATTAAGCCCCAAAATGTATATTGTTTTTGGAGAAGAAAGTGTTTGCCTGTCAACTTATCCAGGTCAGCTATATATGGAAGTGAGCTTGGCTGCATGATTGTTATTTAGACAGTATACCAGATGTGTATAGTGCTTAAAAATAAAACAAATAGGCCCTTCCTGGAACTGCTACGGTACAGGTTAGATCTGATCTTCAAGAGAGTGACAGCGACAGGTAGAAAAAGCTTCTGCCAGCAGGAGTAGCTGTGGGACTTAGCCATGTGTGCCGAGGCACAACAGAAAAATGAATTTCTCTAGGTGAAATTTCTCTTAAAGAGATAAGCCTAAGCCATGTGTTGAGCTAGCAAACTAAGGAGCTGGGACATTTTCGTGAGGTAAAGCAAAGGTTCTTTTTCAAGCCATGAACATACATTTTTCATTAAATTGAGTGGAATCGTATTTTGTAGCTGTCTGTGTGGTAAATGAACCTCGGAGGAAGGATCTTCAGTGTGATTCTATGCCAAGGTCTGCAAATCAGGTGCATGTGGGGGGAGATAATTATGGTTTTGGTAATAAGCCTCTGCTTGTCTCTTTTTACTTCTGCAATTAGCACTAGGTGGCCAAGATGTGGGAGACCCCAGGGAAGATGCCCACTGCTCGGCGGGATTTTTAGCCTGGACGGCACAAAGGTGAAATGAGATCCAGGGGCTGGCAGCCGAGGTCAGAAGAGGAGTTACAAGGGCAGTGACATGCAGTGCTTTACGGCTGGAAATAACCAAGCGCGGGGACAGACCTGCAGTGGCTGCAGAAGATCCTCCACCAGATCCTCCACCCCATGCTCGCAGTGCTCWTCCTGCTTGGAAAATGAAGCACTGCAGCATGGCTACAAGCTACCAAAATGCCCCCTTCATGCTGCTGGAAAGACCAGGGGGTTGGTGTGAAATTAGAGCCTGGTRTCTCCCTGCTGCCTGTCTACATTGAGGGTTCATGAGGCCCAACGGGCACAAGGAGCTGGCAGGAACAGGCCACCTCCACCCCGCCATCCATTTGCAGGGCAGCTGGGCTTAGTCGGAGCTGCGGGGTTGGGGACCCATCCCCCATGTTGACTACACATCAAATGTAGGGGTTTCTAAAAGGAAGATGCGCCGTGATGTGCAGGAGGGGGCAGCGGCGCCCRGCGGGGCCTACCTGGGGCCTACCTGGGGCCTGCAGGCCTGCGGCGCCTGTTGCCCAGCAACGCCGCCCGCCCCTGGGGCGCCATGGGCCGGGCCCGGCCCTGCCGCCCGCTCGTCCTSGCGGTGCTGACGGTGATGGCGGTGGCAGCAGCCCCTTTCCTGGCGCGGCCTGGCACTGCCTGCCCCTCGCCCTGCCGCTGCCAGGGGCGGCTGCTCAACTGCAGCCATGCCGCCCTGGCCAGCGTCCCGCAGGCCGCCCGCCGCCTGGCCCTCTCTGTGCTGTGAGTATCGCCCGCTGCCGTGGCGGGGCTGACCCCTCTGTGGGGACCGGCCTTCCCTGTGTCCCGGCCTCAACCTGCCTCCCCACACAGGACACACAATGGCTGCTAGGAGCCGCAGGCCGCGGCAGCATCATCCGCGTCCTCCCCTCGTGCTCGTGACCTGAACCCTMCTCGGTTTTCAAGGCCCGGGGAATGCTGCCTCCTTAAACCAATTTTGCTATAGTTTCACTACCAATTTTGCAGGGAAACAGTCTTCTTTTCCGAGTGCTTTTCAAGGTCTACCCTTCTGGGATGCCCCTGCTTCGTGAGGAAACAGTGGGATTTGTGGGATCGGGAAGCACCCTACAAATGCTTGATTGAAAGCCCGGGGTATTTTGTTGTGGGGAATGAGCAGCTCAGGCACCAAGAAATATCAGACACGGGGAGTTCATTTTGCAAGCAGTCTTTTCTGTGGAGCTTTTACACGACGATTACAATGTGCCAATCTTTTCTTTGCAGAGATTTCACCGGCAACACTATTTCTTCCATTGACACACCGGTGTGGAGGGAATTCCTGTGGGCTGAGTACTTGTGAGTATTCCCTAGTGTTTGAAATGTGGTGAGTTTGGATGTTTTCCATCCCTCTGGTCTGGCTTTTGAGCCAAGGGCATGACGAACACGAAACAGAAACCWTTTTCATTTGATTTCAAACCCGAGATGCTCAGCAAACAGGGATGTGAATTCCCTGTGCTTCCCGGGATGGCAAGAGATGCTGTGAGCTGTGGCCCTTGTGGAAAAGTTTTGATCCTACAGGGCCATTCCCAAGTTTCTTTAATCAATGATGWGACTGCACTGAGCTGCAGCAACACAGGGACAAGTGTCTGGTCTTGAGGTCGAATTGGTCCTTGCAGTGACTCGGGGAAACAAAGAGGCGTTTTAGTAAAGCTGTTGCAGAACATCCCTCCAAAAACCTCACTCCCCGCTGTAGAGCTGTAAGTGCCCATTTTGTCTCCCTGCAGAGTTCTCCAGGACAACGCTCTGAAGTCAGTGGGGAGGCATTCGCTGGAGGGTTTGCTCCTGCTGAAGCACCTGTACGTACCATCCACCTCCCAGGAGGGTTCAGAGCAGCCTGTCGCCGTGTGCCGTACGCTGGGAGGAGCGTGGCACCAGCCTTCCCTTTGAGCCCCGGCTGCTCTACCCAGCCTCCTAGAAATTTACCTTATTCTTCCCGTGTTCCAGGCGACATTCCCTGCAAAACAGAGGGGTCTTGGTGCTGAGCATTTCTGTTGCAATACGGTACAGTGGGAGGATCCTTATGGAGAAAACATGATACACGCAGGGTAACTTGCAATACACCCCACACTGGTGACAGTTTTGGGGACAGTCTCTCTGGTTATTTATTATCTTCCTGAAATTCTGCTGGCAACCAAAGAGAGACAGAGGAGTCCCTAGTGTARCCTATAATGTCTCTTCCAATGTCAAAATCTCAGACAGATTGAAACTGGGAGGTCCTTTCTCCAGCCCTTGGTTCAGAGCGGGGCTAATTTCAAAGCCAAGTTGCTCAGGGCCTTATCCAGTYAAATCCCTCCCCTTCTTGGAGGGAAAACAAATGTGCATCTGTGCCTACACAGTGTCACATGAGATTGCAACAAGTCTTCTGCCTCTAACACTGTTTGCAAGGAAGCAGGAGGAGCGTTCAGGTTTTGTTTTCTCTTTGAAGCTCAACTTTTCATATTTCTTGGGTTTTCCTGTGCGGTAAAAGACAGAGGCACAAAGGAAGTGTGAAAAAAGAATAGCAAAATCTTGTCCTCTTCTGCTCCGCTGCAGAATCCTCCTGTGAAAGCTCAGGATGTTAGTGCCCAGAGCCCGGGTTACCTGAGTCTTGCTAGATGCATGAGTGCACTCTTTAAGCAGCAGAAACTTCACATCAGAGGAAAAAATATCACTTGTATGAAAAAAAAAAAAGGACAGCAAGGGAAGCCCTGGTTGGAGGCAGCCCACAAGCTTTTGCKCAATGTCATTTATTGAGTATGGCCCTTATATGTTTGCATTTTTCCCAGAAAAGGGGAATTTGTGTTTTCTAGGACTCACATTGGCTTGGAAGGAGAAAGTCCGTGGCTCTCTTGGCCTACTGAGCACATACAGGTGGCCTAGGTGTTAGGAAACAAAGATCCAGGAACCAAAAAGCAGAAAAGCTCTTCTGCAGCATGTGGTTTATAGGTTTATTGTGGYTGATAAGTGAGTTTGGATCAAACAGACTTGCAAACAGGCTAATCGACAGGTCTGAAGGAAACATCTCCAAAGCACGTCCAAATGCACGTGCCCAGCCGTGGCCCCTGCTGCCAGACGCTGCGGGAGCTGCGTGGTGGGAGGCCCAGATCCTGTGAGCAGAGCTGCAGCGGCTTCCTGAGCGCTCTCCCTCCTGCAGGGAAGGCAGCTCCTACCAAAGAAACCTTGTGCATTCATCATGTCTAATTTTAGCCACCTAATGATTGCCTGGGAGTAAGCTAATTGTTCAGACTCTCTTTATTCTCCATGGAAAGGAACAGGCACTTCCCATTCACCCAAGCGATCTTAGGAACGTCTCCGAGGAGGGGATGAATCACACTCCAAAAATACTTCTCTCGCTGTCGACTGCAGACCAAAGCCAGGCAGCGATTCACGCTCAGACAATGAACCTTCTGATTTCCAGAGCGAGCCAGGAGAATCCTGCTGTGGCTGAGTCTTTACACACATCTCGCAGCAGAGCTGCAATGGAAAGTGGAGGTTAGGTTATCCCTGCAGGTCTTTATTGTGATGCTTCCAAACAGTGTCCCTTTACACTAATTTCTTCCCAAAATATTGTGTAGGAGGGGAAGAATAAATTCATTTTTTAGCACTCGTGCAGTTACCAACCTGTCCCCGAGCCTTGCAGCTAGACAGCTCTTGTTGAGGCTTTTCTGGCTGACCAGCAAACAAAGCACAGATGATCCCAAGGGCAAGGATCTCTGTGGCACATCCTGAGGGTGACACGTTGGTGTKGTCCATGCATCCATGAAGATGCTGCACTGTGCCTCTCAAGAGAAATCTTTCTGTTTCCATAGAGGAAAATCAAGCCCTGAAATAATTCTGATGGCATCAGAGCTAGGAGATGAAAGCCATCTCCAGGCACGAGGGTTATCACAGGTTATTCACCGGTGGAATCCAATATCAAATATAAACACTGCCTGAAATCAGAGCCATGTAGCACATGGACTACCAGGCTCAAAGCAAGGGAAAGTAAACATGACAGTGCAAATGCAATTAACATTTCACGTTCTAATTTTAACAGAGATTTATCCTGCAATAAAATCCTGTCGATTGAGGAGCATGCTTTTGAGCCACTTCCTTTTTTGCAACTTATGTGAGTTATAAAAACATTTTTCTAATGTATTTACGAAAGTCTGTTTACATTTACAACCCCTTTTGTGCTAGAAAATGTTCCCATTATTTTTAGAACAGTGACTACATTTCTAGGGCTAAAACACTAACCGAGATAGAGCTGACGAGACCAGTGCAGATGGCTGGGTGACCCACAGCAGGATGAGAAATAGTGTGGTTGCCCAAATGCAGCTGTAATAGAAGCCATTTCTTGAAGGTTTACTATATCCTGAAACAGAAATAGATCAAGCACATATGCACTTCATTTCCTCCCGTTGACAGGTTAAACAAATGAGAAAGTGGGAGAGTTTCCTCCCTATTCTACCTTGGATTTGCATATTTCCTACAAATCGCTATTGCTCCGCACCAGCTTCCTCCTGGAGAGAGTGGATTCATTGCTGCCATCTTCTTTTTCCCCAGAAACCTTGGTGGGAACCTCATCACGCAGATCCGGAATGGCACGTTCCAGGCCTGGCATGGGATGCAGTTTTTACAGAAGCTGTAAGTCTGACAAGGTCTAAACATGGATCAGGACGTCAGTGACCACGGTGACCATGGGTAGAGCAGACTTGATTTGGTCATAGGCCGGTGTTGGTTGCAAGATGACCCGCAGGCTGCCAGATGGAAGGCCAGTGTGGAGCATCTCCTCCAGGATGCTGTGGCACAGCCCAGTGGTCACAGACTCCTTGAACTTTTCCAAAGGGGATGCAAATCCCAGTAAAGAACTGGATCCTACCTTAGATGTCATCTGGGGACTGCCAGGAGCCTGCAAGGGTGTGAGGTAGGGCTGGATTTGGCAGGGAGGRTGAGAGAGGGCAGGAGGAAGACGGAGGCTGAAGTGTCTCAGGGGGGTAGGCTGCTTTGACACRCGTTAGGCAGAAAAAACAACTGTGATTCTACCCAGAGAGAGCCTTCTGTGGGAGATATTTGTTTTCCTCGGAAGTTTCACCTTTTCAACAGAAGCTCCCCACCCAAATCGAGTAAACTTGTTTGGCAAAAGCCCCTCAAAAATTTGCCGCATAATTTTTATAATAATAATAATAATAATAATAGTAATAGTAATAGTAATAGTAATAATAATAATAATAATAATAATAATAATAATAATAATAATAACTGTGCCAAAAACATTCACTTTGTGTACTTGCATTTAAAAGGCAAAGCAGCTCGAAAATATACATCAAAAGGACTGCTTGTTCTTTTGGACACGAGCTTCTAGGAAAGCATGTCCTAGTCCATATGTACTTGGACCAAGAAGCGTCCAAGGAAAGGATGACTGTTTCAGTCTGGATCTGAAGCAAGTGAGAAGCCAGGGCATTTTGCCCACCAAGGGTTCATTATATATAGGGAAAAGCCAGAGGCTCCGTGCTGTCCCGAGGCCTGCGTCCCTTGCACACCAGACAGGGTGGCAGAAGAAGGGCTGCATGGCAATTCTCACAGAGCTTGGCCACAGCTTTGCCTGCCTGGTTGTAGTAACAGAGTAAGGGTTTATGGGCGCTGGAAATGTAAGAAAATACAGAAAGTTCAGAGTCCAAAATAACACCAAAATCCTGGTCAAGGGAACCAAAGGGAAGGTGGAGTGGAAGAAGAGAGAAAGCAATGTATTTTCTGAAAGATCCACTTCTGGGCTTTTGCTCCTTTAGCTGGAGATAATCAGGACCTGATGTAGCTGGTGAATCAGCCCATCYGCATCTGTTGCTGCCTCTAGTCTTCATCCCAGAGCCTCCTTCACAGACAACAGCACTGAGCCAAAGTTTTATCTTCAGGCTGAAATTTCCTATGTTTGTTCTCCACTTGAAAGGAAATTCTTCAGGGAGGTTTCAGTAAAAATTGTTCAGCCCAATCCACATCTGCCATCCATAAAAGTGGGCTGGATCCGTATCAACCATGCAGCCTCTTTACACCACTCAGGTAGTATAGAGGAACCTGCAAAAGGGATTTCAGTGCAATTCCACATCAGATCCAGCTCCCTTTGGGCCTCTCTGATATTCAAAGGCTGCAAATTTGAAATCTGGCAAAGAGAAAACTCCAATGATCACCAAAGKGCTTTACAGTGATCTAGTAGAAACTTGCTTTGATTTAGCTGTGTTTTTATGGATTGGGAAGCACTGAGATTTTTACTCTTTAGTATATATACTRAACAAAAGTATAAATAACTATAATTATAACTAATGACCTCCCCTTTCCCCAGTGCTTGCTGCACAGGGCCAGCTCATCGTGGCACACAGTCTGTGTGTTTAAGGGGAGATACGTATGTGCCCCTACGCATGCCGCTCGTGTCCTCGCCAGCACAGGAGTCACAGTCCCCTGGTGGCCTCTGCCCTGCAGTCTTGTGTTCCCTSCCCTGAGCTCCCCCAGCTCCTCGTGCAAAGCTTTGGCTCCAGGGCGCAGGGAGGACGAGCAGGGGATGCTGCAAACCAAGCGGGGACGTGACCCCTCCGGGCAGTGTGGGGACAAAGACGCACTTCTCTCCTGGTCCTTTCTCCCTCACTGTCCCTGTCCCAAAGGGAGGCCCTGTAGGGACACGATGCTCGGTCCCAGCCAGACTCTGTGTTGTCACTTCTCCTAAAATGCAAGAATCGTGAGCCAAGTGTCAGCCAAAACTGAGGCTGACGTTCTTACAGCTGTGGGCTACCACGGGCTCCAGAGTTGCAGTCAGCACCAGAAACAGTGGTCTGAGTGTTAGAAGCTCTTTACTTCTCCCTGTTCTCACTAACCTCAGSATCACTTTCATTCTCAAGTGAAAACACATGGGGAAAAGGTTACAAAAACAGAAAGCCAAAGGCAGGGCCCTTCCCTCCACTCAGTCATAGTGACCTTGTGGTTTCTTTTGCAGGATCCTAAGCCATAACCCACTATCTGTTATCGACGACACGTCATTCTTCGACCTACCTTCAGTCAAATACCTGTAAGTATTGGCTTGTCCTTACCGGTTTAATGGGGTCCTGGCCCCATTCCCCTGCACTTGAGGTCAGTGGTGCCCAGCACCCGAGGTGGTCTGCGGCACCCTAGATGGTTTGCAGCATYCCACAGCTCTCGGGGGAGCTCTGCAGGGAGACAGACATCAGTGCTTTTGGCAGAGGGCCTTTCTGCTCGCAGCTTTGCTGACGCCCAGATGCCCTTTTGTCTCTGCTCAGTGTGTTTCCTCTCTGCACGGATCTTATCTGTGCAGGTTGTGAGTGCTGGCGTGGGGACAGCAGCCTGTGTGGTTGCACCACGAGCACTCGCACTTCGGTGGCTGCTGGGCAGAGCTGAGGTTTTATCACTTGGCTCTAAGCGTGAACTCCAAAAGCCCAGCCCTGATCCTACAGTCCATCTGTACACCAAGAATACACTAAAGTCTCCCTGGATACTGTGACATTTGAAAGGTTGGTCCTGTCACATTTCTATCTCCATYCCTGGACAGTGGCATCTCATGATGGAGACCAAACAGAGGAACCAGGGAGTCAGCTATGGTCCCACAGGGAGGCTGTGGCAGGGCAGGGAAATAAGGATTGGCCTCAGCGGGATTCGATCTCCAGGTCTCCATCCACCATATGCTGCTCTGTGCTGGAAATAACCTATTTTCAGGACTGTTTTCATTGCTGTAATCATTTGCAGGATACTTTGAGCTGTCAAGTCTCCTCACTGGCTTTTTAAAAATATATTCCACTCACAGGTCCATCTGCATCTCTTCCTCCCCATCACAGACATTTACATTCCCAGCTCCTTCCCAGTAGGCATTCTGCCCCCGTCTGAGGAACATGTGTTTTTATTTATGGGTTAAAAAAAAATAAAAAAGCCCCACTTTGTTCCTCAGGGAATTTTTTAAGTTTATTTTCCACATGAACTTGCTCACCTCTTCTTCCTGGTTTACTCCAATTTGCTGATTGAAAGACTCCACTTTGTATCTATGTGTATCATCAGTCAGGCAAAACACCCTCCTGGGCTGGACAAGAAGTGTCTCCCTTTGACCAAGAGTGAGGGCTGGGACTGTGCTCCTGAGGGCCAGAAAGGGGTTTTGAGCTGGGGATTCTCTCTGTCCGCATGAGCCTCCCACGAGATCTGCAGGATCCCTTTTTCCTTTAGACCCCGCGGCTAGGAACAGAAAGAAGGTGAGAGGGTTTGGAACTACTGGTGTGACTGCTTAGGCTGAGGTGGATCCCTCTGTGAATGACACCACTGTGATCAGGGATCTGGGCTCGTTCTCCCAGCAGAGTTCCAGTAACGTGGCCTGAAAAACTAACTTGATTTTGCAAATCCTTTCAGAGACCTGGGTGCAACACAAGTGACCCTGCAGACCTTTCACACCCTCCTCCTGACAGCAGTCCACTTGGAAACGCTGTGAGTATGCGGGGACTGGGTCCCAGCTGCCTACAAATCCACTGCTGAGACAAGGGGTCTGCATGGGAAACAAACCAACCTGCTGCCACATCAAAATAACCCCAGTAAGCCCAAGTTTCGCCCACCTGGAGCTGTTCATTTTTCCCTGCTATCCAGCAGCCTGTTACAAAAGTCTGTTCAAAGCCCCTGAGCGACAGCACTGAACAGTAGGGTCTCAGGTCCGTGACTGGGCTCAGGGGTGTAATTACAGCTCAGACAAATACAAATCATAAAAAGAAAAASCTGTTTAGTTTTGATACCCCCAAACTCACCTGCTAAGAAACAGAATTTCTCCACTTATATGATGTGTTCCAGGTTTTCATAGGGAAGTCTTAAATCAAGTGAGGGTATGCTTTTCTGTTTCAAATCACCTTTGGGGATTGATTCTATTTTTGAGAGCAAAATCAACATTTTGATGTCACCGGAGAAAACTATTTTCTATTTGAAACTTCTCTTAGAAATCTGGAGGACATTTTTGTCCATCAGAATTTCCCCTGGGAGGGAAATAAATTTTCCAGAGCTGTAGAAGATATTCAAGCACAACTGGAATGCGTTATCTCTGTGTGTTACCTGAGTTGGACCCACAGACCAACAGATGCCGGGGTTTTGTCCAGTAACCTCTTGTCTTTAGCAAACTCCCCAGTGATCTGGCCTGCTGCCTCTGTCAGACGAAAGACACTGTTGAAACCCTGTGCAAGACCGTCAAGTTGCGCTGTGAGAATTTGTGCTCCGCCGACRCTCCCGAGTGTGGTAGGTTTGCTCCCCATGGAAGACTATCAATGAGGCTTCCTGAAATTTCCTCTAGCTGCAGGACAGGAGGGATCTTGCGAGGGTTACCAGACAAAGTTGGCAGCCCCTGTGGTGTCAGTCCAGGCTGGTGGCTCCCATCCAGCGGGCAGACTCAGCACTGATCATTTGACTAGGTACAAGAACTTCATCTGGGTGAGACCTGTAAATCGGCCCTAAGGCCAGCGCAGACAGCTCAGCTGAGACCTGAGAGGCCTCCGAGCCACAGGCTTCGGCCWCATGACTTGGAAAAAATGAGGGTTGAAAAGTGATTACACCTATCTTTGGCGTCAAAAAGTATCTTGAGAAGAAATAGCGAGCTGAGCTAAACAAACACAGGAGTTTCCAATGCACACAACACATCTAGCCAAGGAAATCATGTGTGCCCAGTCCCATTCCCCGGCACTGGAAGGCAACATCTGCTCATATACCCTTCAGATTTTCCTTGATACCTTTCTGACTTGTTCCAGTGGCACCATTCCCTGCCACACACCGTACCTCACTCAGCAGTGCCCCAAATGCACGCACATGGCAGAAGGGTCCTCTAATCGTTCATTAGTCTCATGAGTCTGACTTCATTGCAAGTCGAGCAAAAACGTGTTCCTGAAGCCATTTGCAGCCAGATCATCAAAGATGTGTCTGATTTCCTATCATTTTAAGAGCAGATAAAGCCTGAATGCCTTTGTAATCTGTAAATATTCTTGAATGTGTCACCCTGCCTCTGACACTAGCCTATCTGCAAAGCAGGATTAGAGATAAGGCTGTGTTTGCAGCYTTGGTGTAGGACTCCTAAATACTACTTATTCCAACTGCAGCCTCAGCATATTCCCTTCACATACCAGGGCAAGAGCTCTCCGAGGCTGTTCGCGTYGCTCTGGGTCAAATGTCCACTTTTTTCCACTTCCTCTAGGCCTGGGTGAGGGGACCTCCATTCATCAGCAGAGATTCAGCACTTTTTTATCAGGTGCTCACTCCACCACTGCCTTTGGGAGCTGGGCAACAACACAGAGGCTTTTTAATGCGAAATATCCCAGGTTTTATTAACTGCAGGGAGAAGAGTTAGTTGGGACAACTGAGCAGGGACAAACATTTTGTTTTGTTTTTCAGGTATTTTGCTTTCCGGGCTCACTCCCAGTTTTAAGCTTTCTGGCATTATTTTAGCAGCTCAACACTGACTCGTGTTAAGCTGTGGCAAGTTCTCCCGCAGAAAAGCGCTGCCCCCAGGATGTTTCACACTGATTTGAACAGAGCCCTGGGAGAGACCAGAAAAAAATAATGCCTCTCTTCTGCCCCAGAGAGGTGATCTCCTTGATTTAAGAGACTTTCCCCCTCTGTAAGGCAGCCACCATTTGGTTTCACACACTCCCCTGTCTAAGAGGCGAGCGCCCGCTGGTTGGGGTAACCCTCTGACCCTGCACTTTGGCAGAGGGTTTCTGGTGCCGGGGGTGTCACTGATCCGCTCTCGTGGTGTTTAACAGCTCACACAGGTTCTCTAGCAAAGATGCGAGCAGAGATAAAGAAAGTGTTAAAGTCCAGAAAGCCGAACAGCACCATGCTGTTAAACCTCAAGCCCAAGGAGCCCTTTCTTGGAGGCCAGGAAACCATGACACTTTCAGTGTCCCTGAACGTGACAAGCTCGGATGCTGATCTCAATAAGACGCTTGATGCCATGTCCAGAAGTAATTCCCTTTTCCCTCAGCACCTGTTTCAGCAGGGAGGTAAGAGCAACAAGGAGTTGATGCTGATGCTCCATGGCATTCAGCACATGGACTGGAGCAGCAAAAGCGATATAAAGAAACTCTATTTCCTGGCAAAAGTGCTGGAGGCCGAGCTTGAGAAGAAGATGCCCAAGGCTAAGAACCTCACGGGCGCGCAGAGCGTCCTCTCTGCCCCCCTGCTGCTGGCAATGCAGAGGCGCGAGGTGCGCGGGGCCCCGGCGGTGCGGTGGGACGGGCCCGCCGGAGCCGCGGGCGGGATGCGGGCGGCGCGGGACACAGGCCTGCAGCGCCTCCCGCCTCACCCCGGGGAGGCAGCCGGGAGGCTAAGCCCTGCTGACACGTTCTTCAGCCACCACAACGTATCCATGCTTTCGKCAAAGCGTCCTCTTTTGTACTCGCCAGCAGAGGCCTCTCCTTTGTCCAGGTCTTTTAAGAGCCAAAATTACCCTGGTGCTATGGAACAGGCCAAAAATCCTCAGGAGCTGGAGGCCGTAGAGGATGCCAAGGAAGCACCACCTCCGAGCCACAGCTACGTGTGGACCTACAAAATGAAGGGTCAGCAAGAGAGCCTGTGCGAGAGAAGGGATGAGCTTTTATACAGGCCGGACCACGAAGAGAACCCAAAGGAAGCGCCCGCGCCAACCCCGAGTAAACCCGAGCAGGGACTAAACCCGGCGGGACAGCTTTTCTATAACCTATTGGTTAGCAGCAACCACCCTGCTGAAACGAGGACGCTAGAGAACAAGCCCAAAGACAAGACATCTCCTCCAGGTGGGCGCTCGCTGGGCCCCCGGCCCGCTGACGAGCCGCGTTGGAAGCGGCCGAAGGAGGAAGGGGCTGCCTTCCCCAGCAAGGCGAGCGGCGCGCGCGGCCCCGCGGCCGCCTCGCCGCGAGGAGACCTCTTCGAGAGCAAGCTCAGGCAGCGGCTGCGCGCGCTCGTCCCGGACGAGGCCGTGCGGGCGTTCGTGGGGCGCGCGGCCCGCGCCCTGCGCGCCGACTGCGGCCTCCCCGCGGCCCAGCCCGCCTGCGCCAAGATGGTCTCCAAGCTGGGGCTGCTCATGGAGGTGCTCAGCGAGCAGCGCGACGGCCGCGGCGCTTCTGCCCTCGCAGGCCGCTGCTTGCTGCAGGGGGACGTTCCCAACGGCACGGCGCGGCCCCAGGCGGCAGGCGGGAARCTCGCAGGGAAGGTAGGATGAACGCGGGGTGCTGCTGGACACGGTCCTTCTGGACCAGGGGGGCACGGCACAAATAACCGTCTCTCCCTTGCTCAATTTCCCTTCTTCTCATCCAGAAGAAATCAGCGTTGGCGCACGGCAACGGGCTCCTGATAGCAGTATCGGTGTCTCTCTCCATCATACTCTTCCTCATGCTGATTTGCCTGATCGAGGTAAGCGGGCGCTGCCTTGGCAGGCAGCTGGAGCCCGCAGTGCTGCCTCCCTGTGCAGTCTGTGGCACCCAGCGTGTCCCCGTGCATGTTGGCGGGCCCGCTAGGTAGCTCATGAGGTTGCTTCCCGACCTCTGAAGGTTGGAAAAACCAGCACAGAGCTCAGCAGAGCACGGGCTGGTCCCTGCACCCGTCCCGGCTGCCCAGGGCTCTGCTCAGCACAGCCAGCACTGTCCTCCCGGCTTCCCAGCTGCTTCGAGGGTCCTTGTCCCCACAGCCGGGGTTTCGTGCTGCAGCCCTTGCTGGGCCTCCCCCTGCACCTCCTTCTCCAGGGTGCCCTGCTCTCCTGCCTCCGTAGCCGGGCAGCAGTTCCCCCACACTTGCTAAAAGGGAGCTTTCTGTGGCAAAATGAGAGTGCTGGAAGGCTTCTCAGGCTTCACGGGGGGAAGCCCTCCTAAGAACGATGCTGCCCCGGCAGCAACGCGACGCTCCGTGCCGTGGAGCGCTCCTCCCCTCGCCCAAAGCTCCTCTTTCTTTATAACCGGCCTCCGTGTCCAGGATCCGCTTGAAAACGGAGGGCAGTGGCCAGCCAAGCACTGTCCGGATAGGAGAGGCAGACATAAACATTTCGGAGATTAGGAGCTCAGGTCATTGCGAGGCAGGGAATGCCGGGAGTTGAGGAGGGAGGATGGGCTCGTTCTGAAAGATTTTTGCTTCTGGCACAGGCTGTCACATGTATATAACACGCTTGGGTTAAGGAACAACCTTTTGGCCTCCTCTGTTCTTTTTTTTCTGCAGCGTATGAGGAGAAAATCCTGATGTAACAAGGCTCGCTCTCTCTCCTTGACCAGGTTTGCTCCCAAAAATCTGCAGCTGCTTCCCAACCCCAGGGCACCGGTAAATCACGCCTGAGACGGTAATTACTGCCACTGCGGGGCCAGGCTTTGCTCTGCACAGCAGCTCATCGTGGAGCCCCGCGGGAGCTCCGCCGCGGGCGGCAGGGGAGGCAGCAGGCACCAGAGTGAATATATTTGTGTAAACAGACCCAAAAATGGGACCCAGAGCGTGAGTGAGCAGCACTGCAATAAGCAGGTGCCCTCACTTCTTGATGGGAAGTTCATCCTCATTAGGGTCTGATGAAACTGCCCCAAGCGGCTGGAGGTTTCTGCCCCCGACAGCCGCTGCGGATGTTCCCGGCCAAGCATCCTCACCCCCTCAATCCAGATGTTTCCCAGCTGTGGATGCTGGCAGCCTGGCCCTAAAGCCTAAAGTGCTGCCCTGGCCAGGGGGACACCAGCAAGGCCACATGCGGGTGGCCTTCTCAGCACTGCCTGCACCACCGCTCTTCCATTGGCTCACTCTTTCCTTAAGGTTCTTCCAGAAATTCCTGCCGGAGAGACGGAGCAAGAAGGGCCCTGCCGCTGCGAAGCAGGTAAGGGCGTCAGGAACGGGGGCCGCTGGCGCTCGCCGCCCGCCACGCCGCCCTGCCGCCGCTCCGCAGGCCTCTCCCGGCTCCGAGCCGAACGGGAGCAAACCGCCCTGGCTCCGCGACGTGTACCAGCCGCTGGACTCGCAGCGGAAGAGATCCCTGGCTCAGAAACTCTTAGACGACGAGTCCTCGGACGAGGAGGAGATTTTCAACAAGGCCGAGATGAAGTAGGTGGCGAGGGGAGGGCGCCCGCGCTGCGTGTCGCTGCTGCTCAGCCGGGTCCCCTGCGCGGCTGCGGCCGCCGGGGGTGTCCCCTGCAGCCCCCGGCCACTCTCCTCTCCTCTCCTCTTCCCGTAGGAGGCCGGAGGAGCAGCTGAACCGGGAGCGGCAGTGAGGCCCTGCTGCGCACCGGGGCTCTCCATCGTTGTGTGACACGCTGTGCAGGCTTTGGGGGAAGCGCCATTAAAATTAGTGCCTTTTTGCCCAGGGCGAGCGTGCTGCGAGCGAGCGCCGCGACCCGCGGGCACGGGGCTCCGGGTGCACGGGGCTGCAGCGAGCGCGGGGCCGCGCGTGCAGAGCCGCCGCTCACCACGGGGGACGTGTGCACGGGTGTGCCTGTCTGAATGCATGTGTATGCACGTGTGCGCCTGCACGCGTGTCTGTGTGCACGTGTGCGTGTGTCTGCATGTGTGTGCGTGTATGCAATGTGCGCCTGCACACATGCATCTGTGTGCGTGTCTGCATGCATGTGTGCGTGCGTGTGTATGCACATGTGCATCTGCACGCATGCATCTGTGTGCGCGTGTCTGCATGCATGTGTGTGTGYGTGTGTATGCACGTGTGCGCCTGCAGGCGTGCATCTGTGCGCACGTGTGTGCGTCCACATGTCTGCATGCATGTGTGCGTGCATTTGTGTGTGCGCACACCTGCACGTGCGTGCCTGCACCCGTGCATGGGTGCGTGCACGTGTGCGTGTGCGTGCACGAGTGTGCGCTCGCGCGTGCAAGCCGGCTCGCGCGAGCCCATGTGCGCATGCGTGCCTGCGTGCCCGTGTGCGCACGTGTGCGCACGCGCGYCCGGCGCTCCTCCCCCCCGGCCGCAGGAGGCGTGGTCTCCTCGCCCCGCAACGTCATGGCGTTGCGGGGCGGGGCGTGCGCGCACCCGCCGCGGGCGGCACTTCCGGGTTGCCCAGCTGGAGGCGCGGGACCGGAGCCGGTGAGGGGCGGGGGGGCGGTGGAAACACCGCGAGAGGGGCGGGGGGAGCAGGGGGCGGGGGGGGCAGCCCCCCTTGGGGGAGCGGGGGTGTTTGGTGCAGACAGGGGCAGTTTGGGTAGTTTGGGTGCAGAATGAGCCATTTGGGTGCCGATGAGGGCGGTTTGGGCGCAGACAGGGGCAGTTTGGGTAGTTTGGGTGCAGAATGAGCCATTTGGGTGCCGATGAGGGCGGTTTGGGCGCAGACAGGGGCAGTTTGGGTAGTTTGGGTGCAGAATGAGCCATTTGGGTGCCGATGAGGGCGGTTTGGGCGCAGACAGGGGCAGTTTGGGCGCAGACAGGGGCGGTTTGGGCGGGTTGGGCGCAGGCGGGAACAGTCTGGGTGCAGAACGGGCCGTTTGGGGCGCGGGGGCGATGCCCCGGGGGCAGCAGCCCCGTGCCCAGTGCCCAGGGGCCCGGTCGGGGGCCCCTCGTGGCCCCCCGCTTTGTGCCGCCCTCCCTCGGGCCCCGAGGCCTCCGCGGCGCCGCCGTGCCCCCGGGCGGAGCGGCCGCCCCCGGGTGCCCCCCGGGCACGGTGGRCACGGCGCGGTTGCGGGGCCCTGGCAGCCCGTCAGGCTCTTCCCGTACCACGTTGTGCCTTGGCAGCGAGCTCTCGTCCACGCGCTGGGCAGGCCCGGTCCAGCGCTTAAACAAGCGGCCGCTCGTCCGCGCGCTGCCGTTCCCCACGTCCCTGCGGACGGCCACCAAGTCACAGCGGAAACTCCAGCCTCGTCACTAGGACTGGCCCAAGCCGGGTGCCCCACGGGAGTGTCCTGCCGTGACACGCGGGGGCTTCGCGGCCTTCCTRCCGGCTCCCTGCGCTCCAGGCCGCACCGGTGCAAGGGATTTCCCTCTTGGAAAGCGCGGCCTCCTGGAGGCCCTAGAGCAGCCTAAAAGACAACCCTGTCCTTGGGATGTCGAGGACGGTGGTTGTGCTGCGGGCCCGGGCGTCCCCCCGGCCGGGCTGGTGGATCGGCGGCTCCCGTGGGAACCCGGAGCTTTCCCGCTGGCTCCACGGAGGCGGCCGGGCCGACCGGGCGCCYGGGCTGCCCGTCCTTGAGCGCCGGGCGGCCGTGACCGGCACGAGCCTCGTGCTTGGAAAACGAGCGCCTGTTTCCAGGCCCTGAGTCACCAGCTGACGCCGGCTGCTCTTTTCCATTCGCGGAGCGTGAGCAGCGACCGGGCCGTCGTTTATAACCCGGTGAGCCGGGGCGGGCGCGAGCGGGGCAGCTTTCGACCGCCTCCGGTGCCTCTGCGTTTAAGGAGCGTTTGCCAGGGCCTAGCTCATGTGTGGCCTCCCGCCGGTGCCGCCTCGGTAGGTGCCCTGCGCCGGCGCCCGCCCTGCCTCGCGTGTCTCCTTCTCCTCCTCACGCCCGCGGCTCTGCGCGGGGCTTCACCCGCGCTCTCGCCCGGGACCGGGGTCCCTGTGGGCGGCGGGCGCTGGAGGTGACGCTGTCCCCTCGTCGCGGCTCCCGGGCGCTGGTGAAGGGGCCTGGGCCCGGACACCTCTTCCCTGGGCGGGAGGTCCCAGCCTGGGGACCCGGGGAGGCTCAGGAGGTCTCCTGGCCCTGGAGTCTCCCGCCCATCCCTTGGATTCCTTGCCTGGGGAAGGCTGGGAAGGGCCTCAGCTCGCAGCCGTCCGCGGCGGTGCTGCTGCGGGACGCGCCAGAGCCGCCGGCAACGAGCCGGCCCTGCTTGCGAGGCCGGAAAAGCAGGGCAGCTCGTTGCAAAAGCAGCGTCCTGAGCCGCTCCCCGTGCGGAGCCGCGGGGGCAGAGCCGCGCGGGGACACCGCGGTGGCCGGCGGCAGGCGCAGCCCTRCTGCTGAGACGCGCCCGGCGAGTGCCCGAAGGCGCCGTGTCCAGCCCGGAGCAGCCGCTTCTGCACCTWGTGTGGGTGCGGGCTGCGGTGTCTGCCCCGCAGGGTGAGATATCAGCTATCACCGATACCTTGGTGCTGATAGCAGCCCCCTGGAGCCGCCGCCGCCCGGGTCACTGGTACCCTAGTGCAGCACTGGGCAGGGGGGAGGTGGCTCCCTGTGCTCCCCTTCCCCTGCTGCTCTCGCCCCCTTTGACACCCTCTGTCCTTGCTGAAGCCCCTGGCAGCCACTTGAGCTTCTGCTCCAGAGCTTGATGTTCCTGTAATCACTGCGTCCCCTTGCTGCTGTGTTGCAATCGAAAGAGAGGAAATCTTATGACAAGTAGTGGCAAACAAACAGTTTCCCTTTGGACGGAAATTGCCCGTGAACGCCGCACGTGCTGAGGATCGAGCCGCGCTGTGTCACCGAGGAGCTCTCGGCCTCCCGGAGTTGCTGCGAGCGGGGCCGGCGCTGCCCGGGTCGGTGCGGGGTGTCCGTGGGCTGCTCTCACCTGGGGCTGTGCCRCGTCTGGGAGCCGCTGGAGTCGCCTTGGATCTGCAGCACGGCCTGTGGCTGCGTCAGGATGCAGTCCTGGGCCGGGGGCTTTGCAAAGCCCGGGACTGGGCTGAGAGGTGGAAATCCAGGAGCTGGAGACCCCTTGTTCTCAAAAAACACCCTTCTGCTGTGGAAAAACACCCTTCTGCTGTGGAAAAACACCCTTCCGCTGCGGGAAAACGCCCTCGTGGGTGCCGGGCTCAGCCGGGTTCCCGGCGCCGCTTTCCCTCCGTGCAAGAAGCGGCCGCCGCAGAGCGGCCCCGTTGCCCGCGCGCCGCGAGTTGCTGCGTCCAGCGACGTCGCTCCCRCGTCGCCCCTTGCTCAACGCGGGCTGTTTCCGTGCCCGGCGCCCTGGCCTGGCAGGCGAGGCAGGACCGGGGGCAGCAGCCCTGGGCCTGCCTGTGGGCAGCCCACGGGGGTTAATGATTCCCTTGGTCTCGCTCTGCTGGCCGCGCTCCGGTTTGGCTGAAACTCGGCAACGACTTGCGAAGCCTCCTGCCTTTCCATGTGGTTTGGGGCGGGTCCCGAATTGAACGGGGCCACAGCCCGGTCCTGAGCACTTTAAAACCCTCCAGGGATGGGCTGTGCGTGGCGCCGGGGCCCTTCGCACGGCAGGTGAGTTACGTGTCAGCCCCACACGTGCGGAGGGCTCAAAGCTGCTTCTCCCTGTCCGCAGGTGACATGTGAGCGGGGAGCAGCCGGAGCTGAGATGCATTCCAGCCACGCGGAGGACGCCAAGGATGTCATCCAGGTGAGTGGAAGCCCACAGCCCTCTCCAGACAGCGCAGCTTGTTCCCGATGTGGCTCCGGTTCCCGGCTAGGAGCGATGCCAGAGGCGACAAAACATGTCTGTGCTGCGAGCTTGGGTTGGGACAGTTCATATGGACAGAGAAAGGATAGTGCTTCCTGCCAAAGAGCATCCRCGCATCCCTTGTGGAGCGTGCGTGGTTGCTCAGGAGAGTCAGTAAGGCAGCAGTGGGCGGCCAGGAGTGAAACCGGCCCCTCCGCGGGGCTGCACCGCGGTGCCACGACCCGAGGAAGGTGCTGCGGTTCGGCGGGCGCAGGCGCCTGCTGCTCAAGGGCGCTTTGGGTTCCTTCCTTTGGGTTCCTTCCTTCGGGAACGAGCTTCCCGCTGCGCCGCGGCGGAGGCTGTGCGGGGCCGCTCACGCCGCAGCTCTGCGGGATAACGCCCCCACTCCCCTCAAAAAGGAATTGGTCTGGAAATGGAATATGGGCCGTCTGCAGCCAAGGAAGGAGAGGAGAAAGCATTTCAGGAGGTGTTTTTGAGCATAAAGAGCAGCTGTGTGGTGTAGACAGGCACTGAGTACACAGGCACTGTCCTAACACAGACCCTAAGCAAGAGGGATGGGTCAGGTCTCCCTCCGATGCCCTCCTTTAACGCCCCACCTGAAAACGCAGCTTGATTCAGATCGTCCCCAGCCCCTCCATTACTCAGGCAGAACAACTGGTGCYGTCAGCAAAGCTCTCAGTGCTGCGTGGTGGATGCCGAGGCTCCAGRCGTTTGATGAGGGCCCTGCTGAGTTGCAGTGTTTGCCAAACATCTGCTGGGGAGCTGGGCTCTCCTTTAAGTGCCCCCGATTGAGACGTCTGGGCTGAGCAGCAGTAAGAAACCTTCTCCAGCAGCGTAAAGGAGTTAAATTCACCAGGTTGACTTCTTTCTGACTCTGGTGCAAGAGGTAGGGAGGTGCAGCCCTTGGGATGCGGTATTCCCATGTGACGGTGCTCCTGGCGGGAGCTGCTGGGTGGCACCGTCCGCGTGTCGGGCCCGTCCCGCCGTGCCCTCCGTTGGTCAGGGTGACGGGCTGCCCGCGGCCGGGCAGCATCCACCGTCTGTGCCCCGCCAGCAGGACGCCTTGCTTGGGTTGTGTGAATCCCRGTTGGATCCCGGCCCTTACAAAGGGTGACCTCGTTAGCGTTTCTTGTTCGTCACACACCCTTATGTAACCCATTTTTTTCCCCTCAGCAAGCGCCTGGAAAGAACTGCCTTCTGCTTTCCTTTTCTCCGCACCCTCATGAGCAATTTGCTGCATRCAGAGGAAGTGCCGCTCGCTCGAAAGGCAGCCCTGTAAACGCGGAGGGCCCTGAAACACATGCTAAAGGAAGCTGTATTTGCATAAATTACTCATTAAAAAAGCCGAGTGAACCGTGATGCAGGAGTGGGAGCCGCCAGCTGGACGGGCTCAAACGCGGTGCCCTCTCGTTGCCGCTGCGGGCACGCGGTGGAGCGCGGGCGGCAGGGGGGCCCCGCTCCGGCCTCATCCTTCCCTCGGTGACTTTCCTCCCGCAGCTGATCAAGGGGCGGCTGGTGGATTCCGTGAAGGCGCTGCAGAAGCAGTACGTGACCTCGGATGCCGTCGTGACCAGYGACGATGGGAACGCCAACACCCTCTGCAGCGCCCTGGAGGCCGTCTTCGTGCACGGGCTGAAGGCAAAGCACATAAAGGCAGAGGCCGCGGGGAAAGGGAGGAAGGCAGGAGGCCGGGAGCCCCTTCCCCAGCCCGTCTTCTGGGGGCTGCTGAAGAGCATCACGCACCGGTGAGTCCTGTGCAGCCCGGCTCCCTGCCTTCCTCTAGGCACCGAGCGGGGCCAGCAGCTGCAGAATTCAGGGAAGGACTAACAGGAGAAGAGCTGGACCCAGAGATCAGTCGTTACCTCTCCCAACCAAACCCGGCTGGACCAGGTGGCCCTGCTGGGTGTCCGCGTGGAGGGGGAAAACGGCAGGAGAGCAGAGCGCTGAGACCCCAGCCTTGCACCACCGCTCCGCACCAGGCACGCGGGGCGTCAGCTCTGGGGCTGTTAGCGTGCACAGGGATGGAGGGCCTAAGTCCTCCATGCAACCCCGCCGTGCCTGCTCAGGGCTCCTTTCTTATTTATTTTGGGGTGCAGGATCATTTCCTGGGACATCATCTCCCTGTGGTACCCAGCGTGACCGCGCTGCTCTAGGGCAGTGCTGGGTTACGGGGTTGCAAGGTGCAGGGGCTCGTCTCTGCTCTGACATTTATCTGCTGGGGAGGTTTTCATTTCTCTGCATGTGAAACCGGAAAAACAGCCCTGACCTAATGGCTGAGCTTGCTGGGTTCTCRTGTGTAACTGCTGTTATTTGTGGGTTTTTTGGAACCACTCCCTGCACAGTTTTTCCACCCCAAATCCCAGCCAGCAATAGGTTTGAAAGCCTCGTCCAAATCCGACTCCACGAGCAGCTCCTGAATTATGGAGAAGTGGAAGCAAATAACGGACCTGCTTTGGGGGATGTTTTTGTGCTCTTTGAAAATTGGCTGCATTTTGAGACAGATTTTAAAATTTTCACAACTTTTGCTCTGGTTTTTATAAAAAACACAGCCTTGACCACTGAGATAGGAGCTGGGGCCAGAGGGGTTAGCAGGCATGTATTTGATTTGGGGGAAAAGTACTTGAAATCAGTGTGTTCAGACTAGTCAAGGAACTTAACCTGACCCAAACCTTGTGCTTTATTTTGGGCTCATTAACACTGTAGTCCAATCAATTGAAAACTCGAAGCTTAGGATGGAGCTGCTGTGCAGGTGCTGTGCGCGCTGTCGCAGCGCGGGGGACATCGGGGGCTGCATTTTCCGCAGGGGAGAGCTTTGACCCAGCTCCAAAGCTTCCCGTAGCAGARCGGTCTGGACAATTCCTCATTTCTAAGCGTCGTGTGTAGCCAGAAGGATGGCAGCAAGCAGCTGCACCACGGGAGCCAAGGATGCCAGATGGGCAGGATTTTGGGGGGCTTCTCCCCACACCGGGCCCTGTTCTCTGGCTGTCTCAACACTCAGGTTGAACCATTGGGTTGCATAACCCGTGCCTTGGTGGAGAGGGTGGCCCTCGGGTGCCCCGGGATGGTTTGGAAATAGCTCCTCACCTTCTCTCCTCTTCGGTGCCCCCCCAGCAACGTCGTTTCAGAGCTGGAGCAGCTGCTTTTCATCAACACGGACGTTGGCCGCTGCCGGGCCTGGCTGCGGCTGGCTCTCAACGACGGCCTCGTGGAGTGTTACCTGAAGCTGCTGCTGCGGGAGCGGGCCCGGCTGCCTGAGTATTACCAGTCGACCGCGCTGCTCTTGGATGCCGAGGAGTGCGAGTTCATCCTTAGCTACCTGCAGGGCTTAACGTCCTTGACCTTTGAGCTGTCTTATAAGTCAGCGGTTTTGAACGAGTGGACTATCACCCCGCTGTCGCTGTCCGGCCTGTGCCCCGTTTCGGAGCTGCTCGAGCCGCTGACGTCCTCGGCACCCGCGCCCCGGCGGAAGGCGTCGCTGGGTTCGATCTCGCAGTCCTCAGGCTCCGACGAGATCGAAATCCAGCCGCCCGGCCAGCCCGCGGGCGAGAGCGGCRCCAAAACCAAGCTCACGTCGTCCTCGCTGAGCCTCGCCACAACGAGCTCCTCGCAGCTCTCCTGCAGCCTGGGCTCCGACGGGATCCCGCAGCCGCCCTGCTCCGGGAGCCCTGCCCGGAGCCGGGAGCCGCTTCCCGGYGGCGCCTCCCCGGGCACGGCCGCTGCCCAGGACTTGGACAGATCGCTGCAAGAGTGAGTCTTGTCCCAAACCTGCTCCTTACGCTGCTTTGTGACCCTCTCCTGGGTTCGCCGGTGTTTTCCTTCTATAAGCAGGGAAGCTTTCTCCCTCTTTATGAGCCCTTTTGCTCCCTGGAAAGAGTCTGAAAGGTAAAAAAAGGAAGAATATGTTGTTGGTGCCAAGGAGAAAGAGCGTCTGAGAGTTGGAGCGCCCGTCCGCCCTCCCTGCCAGGGGAGATCCYTCACAAAAATGCTGCTCCCTGGCTCTAGAATGTAGCAGCGCTCTGGGGTCTGCCCGAGGCTGTTTTGGGGCTCAGAGGGGAAAAAACACGTTTTGTCCTAGGAGCRAGCCCTAATTTGCAGCTTGTGCAGATAATTCAAGGGAAGGGGCTTGTTAGTTTGTCATCCCCGTGACTGAGTTCTGCAAAACACCCAGTCTGTGAGGGCAAAGATTTCCAGCAGGGTGTGAGAGCCCTCAGTGTGATCAGAAAGTCGGTGTCTTGCCCATCCCCTTCAGGTAGGAAGGACGTGCTGGCCAAGCCGGCGCTAACGAGTCTGGCCTTGGGCTGCTGCTTGGCGAACAGGCCCGTCCCAGCTTTGGTTTTAGGGAGGGACAAGGAACAAAGTTAGGACTTGCTTTATTTGCTGAGGAAATGCCACGTTTAGTGGCACTTTGCTTTGGAGAAACTATAGGGCAAGAGAAGGCCAAAAAGGAGCAAAAATCTTTTTTTTTTCAGTTTGCTACTAAAAAGCTTTGCTTTGCATTGATGTAAGGCAGTGAGCGCCCTGGAATTCCCACAAAGGAAGAAAACACATTGTTTCCAGCTGATCAGGAGGTCAAAAGACTTGGAAACAATTTTCTTTCTGGTTATTTTAAAAAATTAGAAGCAAATTTTAAAACAAACCCAGCATCTTGAATTGAAATTTGAGACTTTCAAGAGAAACGTTGCTTTTKCTGTAATTTTATTTGATTTTATTTTTTTTTWAAACGAAAACCATCATCAGCCTCACCTCAAATTCATTAGGAGTTTTAGAGCGTTTGAAACTGCAGTTTTTGGCAAGGTGATTATTTGTCCAACTCCTCCCCATGATTTAGACCAGAGCTACAGTCTGTTCTTCCTCATTGATAACAACACTGTTTCCTACTTTTAGCATTTTTTAATCTTACAATAATCCCAGAGGGAACCTTCCTGACATTTGATTAAATTTGGTGATGGAAAGACTTCGTTTTGAATTTTAACCTGGGCTGCTTTGATCTAGTTGATAGCAAAGCGGGGCGCGGGAACAGCGTCTGCGCTGGCCACGCTCCACCAAGAATTGCCCATTTTGGTTACAAAAACATTGGAAATTCGGCACGCGGGTGCCCCGGGGATGTGCGGAGGGGCCGGTGGCCGCAGAGGGGATGCGGAGCTGCCCCTCGCTCCGCAGGAGCGACCCCGAACTGGGGCAGAGCTGCGGCTGTGGGGAGGAAACCCGCAGCTCCGCGGTGTCGCCGCGCTGCGCAGCCGGGCTCACGGCCTCGCTCTTTCTCTCCGCAGGGTCTTGTCGGAGTTCAGCAAAGCGCAGCGGAGCCAGGAGCGCGCCGAGGGGC